AAAGGGGACGACGAGGAAAGGGGACGACGAGGAAAGGGGACGACGAGGAAAGGGGACGACGAGGAAAGGGGACGACGAGGAAAGGGGACGACGAGGAAAGGGGACGACGAGGAAAGGGGACGACAAAGATGAGGATACAGGAGGGATTTTGAATTTCTAAGGTACTAATGTTGATTGAATCTTCAAGCCTTAGTTGTACCATAAGCAGGTTGTGATAATTGGAGAAGAAAGATGTTAGTGGCGGTTGTGAGTGGAGAAGACTGAGGAGGGTTGGTTGTAACTCAAAGGAAGCTTCTGAGGGAGTCATGTGGGTGTAAATCATGCAGCTTCGATATTGGGAGAGGCTGACCCTGCGGGGAAAAGACGGCAACACAAGGTGTTGTTGAATTGGGAATAGATAATGACTATGAGCGAGCCACGATCTGGGAGGCAGAGCGGGAGATAACGCCAAAATGCACGTTCTCATTTAAAAATATCGATGTCTTCTTACAACCCAAAGGACGGAAAGATGCAGGTGGGAGAAACTCCGTCTTAAGTTCGATATGCTGGAATGGCTTCAGGACATAAGCAGGTCCTTCTTACTGCGTGAAAGAATGAACAGATACAAATGCAAGAGAGTCAGCATGATCTACATCAAGATGATCGGGAGAGGAAGCGTTCGCTTATGTTACCATAGAGAATTGGGTGCCATGCCTGCTAGTGTGAACTTGAGTAAACACGAGACAGGAAGAAGAAGAAGGAGATTCCAAATTAAATGTCCAAAAAGCGAAGAGGGAGAGAGACTAAGTGCCCATAAATATCATGTGACGTTCTTGATGCCACCTTCGACATACCATGCTGGTCTCGCTACGTTGTGGATTGTGAAAAGGGTCAAATGCAGGATGAGGTACAGCACACCGAAGTTGCTGGAGGCCAGCAGTATCGAGTTAGCGGTTTAGTTATACGTGCTGGGGTTGGTCGACTCGGGATGGACAAGATGAAGAGACATTGGATGCTGAAGTTTTTCTTTTGTGAAGAAGTAGTGCTTTTAAGGTGCCTAGAGCACCGAAAGTTGCGGCAGACTCTCATGACACTTAGCACAAAGCCGGTGTCAGAGAATGGGGCCTCGGGGGGCAAATTGCCTAACTGCCGGCGTCTTCGCGATTCCATGCCTGTGGCACGTCCTTGGCAAGGGACAGCAAAGTATGCAAACATGAGAAACAGACCTAGAGAGAGGTAAATGGGAGCATTGGTGTTGTTGAATTTGAACTGTTAGGCGCCTACTTTGTAGATCGACTTGCTGCCACTGTGTGGACGAACAGGACAGGCCGGAGAGACGCTCTAGAAGAGTTACAGAGGGAAAACTTTCAGTCCCGAGTCGTGTCTACTACCTAGCGCTTCTAGGAAATCACCATGGAGGCACAAGGCATTGTCATTTGCAGCAGCAATAGAACTAGACAAGCAGCCCGTCAATCTTGCGAGACCCCAGGACTGCTTGCTTCTTGCGATGACTTGACGTTGAACGTGGGTTGCAATGATGACTCAGACAGGTGCGACAAAGACCACCACTGTAAAGAAGGTTTTGAACAATGAACCTGATTGGCTTCGCAACCATGTGATGGCGCCGTTAATGGTTGACTAGCTCTCAGCATGGCCAAATATAACGATTGAAACACCCGTCAAAAGCTCGAGGTGCTGGGCCGAGAAGCCAGGAGGAATCATGTTGCCAGTCCAGCTTGGATGTTATTTTAGATGTCGCTGCATGGGAACCAGGCGGTGTCCATTCCGCTTTTTCCAAAGCTGCATGACGAGAATCGCTCATGACTCTGCCAAAGTTGATGATGTTGCCGGCCCATGGGCCTCCGCATGAACCGCCCCACGAATGGTCGCGTCGCCCCGTAATGATGCAGATGGAGAGCGGTATTCTTGCGCGGCCCACAAGATGAGATTGGCAAGAATCCGGGGCCGCGGCGGGAATCAATTCCGCGCCGGAGATCCAAACAATTGACTTCCGGGGTGAGCCGTGGGTCTCGGTTGACGAATGACCCTTGGGTATCGGCATCTCTGTGGCCTCGGAAGAATCTCGGTTAGGGGGGCTAGCCGTTTCCTTGGCAGTTGGGGAAGAGCCAGTTTGGCCCTCGGTCCCCGCTGGCTAAGCTGCGCGCAACGGTAAAGCAGAGCTGTACATAAACGCCGAGCTGCCACTTCAGCAATGCCGTTAACCAAGGCCCGACCGGATGAGACCTCTTCCCAAGCGCCCTATTTCTAAGACGTCGGTCACCAGAAGCCATGCGCTGTTTGATTGCGACATGGATCATGAGTAGGCAGAGTTTAGAGCTATGGGAAGCTCGTCGCCGGTGAGCCAATGACGGCCAGGATTGGATGCTGACGCTGCACCTTCGGCTCCTGATATCGGATCGCATCTAGGCCCAGCTGCCGTTAACGCGTTAGCAATTTAGCCACCGAGATCGTCGAAAATGACGGCCTGCGGCATGGCCACAATGACTCGGGAACCTTCCTTTCCCAGCGCTAGACAGGACAGGACGGCAAGATGCCGCACTACCACGCCGCCCTCTCTGCCGAGGTGAATCAAGTCACACCTGCGTGGGGAGAAATGCGGAGAAGTGGGGGAAGCTATCTTTCTCCAAGTCTTGGACGTTCTGCATCTGGCTGCCGTAGCTGCAAGAAGCAGGGGGCTTTCGACGGGGTGCCGTCACAGTTGCCTAGGGCACAGCTGCGCAATGGCGAAAGGGATCTAAACTCGGTCCAGCCCCCCGGCAAGCGGAGGCAGAAAAGGGAGGGCCCTTGGGTAATGGGAGGACCTAGCTGCCGTTCTCTGCCACTTTGCTGTCATTTTTGTTTTCCTTCAAACAAAGCCGGCAGTGAGCTCTTCTCTTCACCGAGCCTCGTGTCCACTTTTTTGGTTCATTCAAAAGTCCCCAAGAACCCCCCATTTTCTGGAGCTGGTGTTGACATTCTCACGATCGGACTTGCTACGTGTTTGACAGGAGTTCTCAAAGTTGCGACCTCTTTTTCACCCCGTATTTTCATTCCAGCTAGGAAGTTTCATCACTCAAGATGGTTTTCACGTCGCCAAGTTGGGTCCCCAAGCTGCCCATCGGTAAGACAAGCCCGCCAGCCATCCACGCCGTTGCGATGCGGCCAATGCTCATTCTTTCTCCACAGATCCCCCCGATTCAATCACAATCGGCGAGTTCATGAACAATGAGCAATACGGTCGCTATCCTCTCGCCAAAGCTAGAAACCCCTACACCTGCGGTTTGTCCGGCAGATCGTACACAGCATCCGAAGTGAAACAGCGAACCGATTACTTGGCGCGGGCGATCTCCAAGAAGCTCGAGTTCGCACCAAACGAGGGCACAGAATGGGACAAGGTCGTTGCTCTCTTCTCCCTCAACACCGTAAGTTGACATACTGCAGAATCCCAGGCGCCCCAAGAAGCTGTGGCTGACATGTTCACAGATCGATTACATTCCCTTCACACACGCCGTCCACCGCCTGTCGGGCATAGTAACCCCGGCCAGTGCCGCGTACTCGGCTCAAGAATTTGAGCACCAGCTGCGATCGTCCAACGCCAAAGCCATCTTCACGTGTATCCCGCTGCTCGAGACTGCGCTCAAGGCAGCCAAGGCAGTCAACATCCCCAATGACCGCATCTTCTTGTTGCCAGTTCCTGGCGTTGATCAGAAGACACCGTACGCCACCGTGGAGGATCTCATTCAAGAGGGCAAGTCGCTACCTGAATTGGAGCCTCTGAAATGGGTCAAGGGACAAGGCGCACGACAGGTCGCATACTTGTGCTACTCAAGTGGTACATCTGGTTTGCCTGTAAGTGAAGCTTGGCGAGTGTGGATACTTCTGGCCCGACTAACACCAACTTCAGAAAGCCGTCATGATCTCACACCGAAACGTCATTGCGAACGTCATTCAGTTCAGAACATACGAGTCCGTCGCCAGGAAAGAGCTCGGTATTGAGACACAAGCTGGCTTGGGCCTGCTGCCCTTCAGTCATATCTACGGCCTGGTGGTTGTCGCGCACTGCGGTACCTACCGTGGAGATGGAATCATCGTGCTCCCCAAGTTCGAGCTGAAGCAGTTCCTTGCCGCCGTCCAAAATTTTAAGATCAACTGTTTACCAGTCGTAAGTTCGTTACCGCTCGGGTGTCAGCTCCGATGTCTAACTTGTGTAGGTCCCGCCAATTGTGATCCAGGTTATTCGCAACCAGGAGTTGTGCAGCAAATACGATCTCAGCAGCGTGCGCTTTGTGTACACAGGCGCCGCGCCTCTTGGCGCCGAGACTGTCGAGGAGCTTAAGAAGCAATACCCGAAGTGGAATGTCGGCCAAGGTTATGGTAAGGCTACTTCATCCGCAAGCAATTTCGAGCTGTAAACTGACGAATGCTAGGCATGACCGAGACCTGCACTGTCGTTTGCACGACATCTGAAATTGATATCGACGTTGGCTCTTCAGGGTCCCTTGTCCCAGGTACCCGCGGAAAGATTGTCGACCCCACGACGGGCGAAGAGATCACAGAATACAACAAGCCCGGCGAGCTGCTCGTGCAGAGCCCCTCCGTGGTCTTGGGCTACCTCCACAACGAGCGCGCGAATGCCGAGACCTTTGTCTGGCATGAGGATGGTCGTTGGATCCGTACTGGTGATGAGGTCCTTGTGCGCAAGTCGGCTGCGGGCAATGAGCATCTTGTCATTGTCGACCGTATTAAGGAGCTCATTAAGGTGAAGGGCCACCAGGTTGCTCCGGCCGAACTCGAGGCACACCTCCTTACCCACCCAGCCGTGTCCGACTGCGCTGTCATTCAAGTCCCCGACGAGCGGGCCGGCGAGGTGCCAAAGGCCTATGTCGTGCGCGCCGCTTCATATGCCAGCAAGCCTGAAGCCGAGGTCGCGGCCGATATCTGCAAGCACGTCGAGGAGCACAAGGCGCGGCACAAGTGGCTCAAGGGCGGTGTCGAGTTCGTCGATATCATCCCCAAGAGCCCCAGTGGCAAGATCCTGCGCAGGTTGCTACGTGACCGGGAGAGAGATGCTAGAAAGGCCAAGGGCCCCAAGCTCTGAGGGCCGCGGTGTTGTGATTTTGTACGACGGACTGGAGTGTTTAGATGGGTATGATTGATGCGAGGCTATCACCTAGACAGACAGGCGCATCATATTTGGATAATGTTATACGCGCTCTATGCTTATATTTGGCGATTACTGCCTACTACTCACTGTGCTGTTTCTGCTGAATACGAGTTCAGATTGACGGTTCCGAAACCACGTGCGTACAAACCCCTTGCTTCCCGTGAACTGTCAGCAAGCGTCGGAAGTCGAACAGAAAACAAGGTACATTGCTGAACGACGCTGAGCTTATTTCTTTCGGCCAGGCCGTTTCCAACACCGGAACCTGAAATGCGAAAACACCATTCGTCATCAACTTTGATCGTCAATCGCACTAAAGTCCTCGAGACTCGCCAACCGAACCCCATAGGCTCCACGAGCCTCAATGCTTAGTATTCTTAGCATCCCTCCTCAGCCGACGATCCAAAACACCAAGCCACGAGAAAGTCGCAGGAGGCGTAAACAAGCCCTTGACCGATCATCAAATATCCCGCGGCAGGAGGAAATAGCATGGAAGCAATCCACAGAACAAGCAGCAAGAAGGGTAGAAAAGACACGATCCCATTCGCAGAGACACACAAGAATGTGGGGGCGCCAGACCCCCGGACCGGGGTCTGAGGCGACATGCCCCGAGCGATGGCAGACAGGGGTGCACCCAGCGCCCGGGGTCGGTTTCGTCGACAACCTCAAACGTCTGCGACACCTTCTTGCACCGTGGATCCCATCGCTCCCGACTCGGGAGCAACGCGCCAAGCGAAACGCAGTCGAGGAATTCGCAAGTCGGCCAGGCACAATACACGCTAGCCCGCGGCTGGCTCTTCCTCCCGACAACCCAGCCCATGTTCGCGAGTGGAAAGCACGATGCTCTGATTCGTCCAAGGCTTCCAACCCTACGGACAAAAGTGCTCGCTTCAGGTGTTTTGCATGCTGACTACAGCCGTTCGCACTTCAACTCCTCGGGAGCCTCAAACAACCTCCCATCAACCAGCGGGCGATCAGACCCAGACTGACTTGTCCCAACTCTCACACACAACCGAGTCCAGGCGAAACAGCGACAACACAAGCTTATCCCCTTCTTTCGTCCCTGGTCCTTCGCCCGTCGATTCGAGATGGTTCGCTTCGTGACGGGCCTGTATGGCTCGCCTTTAGCCTGAAGACATGTTCTCCTTTGAAGGGCATACCGAACAAGCAACATGACTGGGCCCCAGGTTCGTCAATCCATCCCCGGTTTTGGTTGACCCCCGTGCCACCATTCGGACGGCTGCAACCCATGCCCATGACGGGATGTGCTCGTGCAGCAAGACCGTTTATCCTTTTTCGCCCGCCTTAAGATAAACCTAACCTGCCACCCCCGATCCGTCTCTCGTCTCTTTTGACTCTTGATTTCCCCGGGTTTCTGGGAAATTCCGAAAACACCAAAAAAGAGTTCCAAGATATTTCCTTTCTTGATCTTCGTGGGAGAGCGACGCGCCGCGAGCTTGGCAGCCAGCAAACCCTTCTTTCTTTAATCTTCGATATCTTTAATATCACTTTCATTTCTCTTTCTACGCCCAGGATGTTGACCGTCCGCTCCCCAGTCGCCGCCCTGGCGGTGGTGCTCAGCTTCCTGAGCCTGACCGATGCCGCGCCGCAGAACCGAGGAAAAGGAAACGGACGAGGAAATGGAAACAGACAGACGGCACAGCAGCAGGCCGCGAGGGTGCCGCAGGGTATCTCGCGTGCCACCGACGGGTCCATGATTCTCGACATGACCGCCAACGTCAAGTAAGTATATGAAGATGGTAAACCTGTGTAAGTGGCTAGTGGTCTCTAACAACCTTCAGTGGCCTCGACCTTCGCTTCAAGATCTCCGGTCCCGCCGAGCAATTCACCGCAGCAAGCGGCGTCCCCGGCGCTGCCGCCCAGCCCGGCGCCCAGGGCACCCTCGGCCTGAACGTCCTCCTCCACGGTGACGGCGGCCAATCCTTCTTCGACATGCCGAACCAGGGCGTTCAGCAGAACCTCGCCGGCGTCGCCGTCCTCGCCCCCGACCCGAACCTCTTCTGGGGCGGCGGCCAGGGCCTTCAGCGCACTGACGGCGTCGCCCACTCACAGGCCGTCAACGACCTCATCCAGCAGACACTGCCGCAGATGATGGCCTTCAACCAGTCCAACGTCTTCTTCACGGGCGTCTCTGGCGGCTCGCTCATGCTTTCCGGCTTCTTCATGCCCGCGCATATGCAGAACTTCGCGGGCAACGGTGTGCTGCTCAACTGCGGCGGCCTCGAGCCCCAGGTCAACGTCCAGGACCCCGCCGCGATCGCCAATACGCGCATCCACTTCCAGAGCACGAAGCAGGAGCTCTCCTCGCTGCAGCAGTCTATCCCCGCGGCCATCAAGGCCTATGAGCAGATCGGCACCAGCAGCGGCCTCAACGCGCAGGCGCTGAACGCGAAGCAGACGGTGAACAACTCACCGAACGGCGGCCACTGCGCGTTCGATGAGCAGGGTTTCGTCTCGGGTATCCAGCTGGTGGCGGACAACTATGCGACCATCATGCAGGGCGGCACTGGCGACGTCAACGGTATTGGAAACGTGTTGACTGGTGTTGCTGGCAATGAGAACTTGCAGTTCACCGGGTCGAGCAGGAGACGTGACGAGATCATTGGTTGAGACGGTGCGGCTTTCTCTTGGAACGAATATGATACCACACCTCTGTAGGGAGTCGAAGAAACGAAGATCAAGTTATTTGAGAAGGGCGTTACTCCCGTGTTCTCCATGCTCGTGGTCCTGTGACTGCTTTGTTTGTGACCGAGACCGCCTATTTTTTCTGTGCTAGAGCGACCACTTTTCCTCTGGTAACATCGTCCTTATCGTCGTCCTCGTCCTCTGCCTCCTCTTCCTCCTCGTCATCATCGTCGCTATTATGATCATCATTACTTCTACTGCCGTCTTTGACAGGAAAACTAACTGCACAATAAATACAGCTGCGCAGACATAGGAAAATGAGGCGGTCTCAAACGACCGACACTGATCAACTGAAAGCTCTAATCCCACACAGGACCGCCACACACGTTCACAAGCGTAACAGTGCATTGGTCCCACTATGAAGTTTTTCTTGAAAAAAGCAACTGCTGTTCACTAAATCTCCTATCTACACGGCATGCAGTCCGCATTATGTCTGTCTCTCCGGTATCTCCACGGGCGATCTGAGCTCAGAACTCAACAGCTCCTGCGCCGCGACCTCGTTTGCGCCTATTTCAGGCATGGCATTCGGATAAGAGCCTTCTAGCTCGATGGCAGGCTGGCGAGGGATACAGTCCGAATGAAGTTGCGGTTTCTCGTATCCTCTATTGTCATGTACTGCATTCGATCGGAATGCTTTCTGCTTTCTTCTTCGTCTTAAGAACCAGAGACCGGCAGCGAAGAATAGCACAATACTTGTTCCGCCTATGAGAGCGCCAGCAACCCATGTGATGTCTCTTGTGAGGGACGTTTCGCCTAGCTCTTTCAAAATTCTGTCAGAACACTACGCGGGACGAATGGATAGATTACGAACCAGTGTTCATCGGCGCAGCTGGATCGGTTGGCTCCGCCGGTTGTGAGGTAGATTTTGCGTCAGGTTGTGAGATGGACGGCGAGGCAGAGAGCGAGGTAGCCTGTGGAAGAAATATCCCCGGTCTCACTTCCAGAATCGTAGCTTCTATGAGCTCCTGTCCTTGTGCACCAGCCAAGTCGGTAATGACAAAAATTTGCGTCCGGATCGCGGTCGTCAATAACGACTGAGGATAGGAGCTAAGTGTTCCGACCTTCTCGCAATATTCCAAGAATGATCCCATAGCTTCGTATACCATGTATAAAGCCTCTCCAAGATTTGCCACCTCGGATTCTACGCATTGACGACATGTATCGAAGTCGTTTAGGAATGGAGAATCGGGGAAGCAAAGGGGCAAGGCCATTCCGGTTATTTGCGCTCCTCTGTAGCAGTCATCTAAGGTAGCTTCGTCAGCGGCGAGTTAAAAGGCATTGTTTCAGAGGACATACTGCATCTAATCCAGCGTAATTCAGATGGGTCGGTCTCAATGGCAGTTAAAGTAGTTGTTTCGTCTTCTCCAGGAGCATGTGGAAACGCGGGGGTGGCTGTCGGGATCTTCGGTGTGACTGACATGTTGGCCTTCGACCGTAAATTCGAGTTTGATAATTTCAGAACGAGGATAGGGAGCGTTTTCAATTTGTGAGAAGGACGCCTCTTTTTGGATCGTCTCTTTTCTTGTTAAGAGAATGGCGACGATCGCGGTATTGACGGCGATATTGGCGGCGAAAGACGACAGAGATGGCGACGGATATTCGCAACATGTGATCTATTAACCACTGCATCGTAACTAACAAGAAGAACCGGTCATCATACTTTATTGTAAGAACCAAGGTCAACAACGTCGAAAAAAAAGGAGGAGTGTGCTACCGTCTTTCAAGCAAAAGGTCCAGAATGGGTCCGAACCTGCGTGTGACCGAGATATATACCAGTTATCGTGTCACTCAAAACCTTGTTCAGGCTGCTGGTCCGAGGCTGGAAGACTCAATATGGATTAGCTTGCCATACAGTCATCGAACTTCGGCCAGGAGCTTCGGGTGGGTGCATGCAGTTGCTTGAGCTAGAAAGTACAGTATGAGTTTGTAGTAATAGACGCAGGCCTTCAACAACCAAAAGTCCGTGGAAATCCGTGTTAGACGGCCATCTTAGAAATTCTCATGAGTCCCTGTCTCGAATTAACCTCATGTGTATCTCTCTGGCATCTCGGTCACCATTTGTCTGTCCTTTTCAGGAACCAACATTTCCTGAGCTGGAACCTCATTTGCCCCCATCTCCGGCACGGGCGTCGGATACGAGCCTTCTAATTCCATTGGGGGCACCTTCGGGGCGTCGTCGGCATGAAGCTCTCCCTTTTCATACTTCCTTACTTCGTAGCTCCCGCCAGTTGCCTCTGAGAGTTTCCCCTTTTGACTTCTTCGTCGGCGCAGAAACCACCAGGCTGCCAAGAGGAGCAAAACGGCGGTGATAACACTGACTACGGGTCCGGCAATCCAGGTACTACTATTGGTGTGTTCCGGTCCTATCATCGTCAGCCATTTACTATCTTTCATCTGTTTACAGGCGTTCTAACCTGCGATCTCGCTGGGTAACACAGTGGGGGAGGCCTCGGCTGGCGAGGTTGTGGTAACCATAGTGGTAGCTTCTTGCCTCAATTCTGTGACTGTTGCAGTCACCCATACGCCCGAATCAACCCTCCCAGAAAACTGAGTGATATCCATTTGCACCACACGAGTCGTAGTGATGACCATGGACGCTGGATAGGTAATCCTCGGAGTTGTAGGTTTCGTTGACTCCATGGTGCAAAAGTCGCGATACTGTCTGAACTTTGGCTCAAGATACTCCACAGCGGTCACCTTCAAATCTTCAACATTAACCTCGACGCATTGGCAACATGTTGAGTAGCTTTCCTGGAAGTCAGAGGTCGGATCGCAGATCTCAGAACTGTTCCCTACAACCTGCATTTCGACATAAGCATCGTCTGAGAAGATAGCGCTATTAGAGGACATTACGCTGAGAAGGGAGCGGAAGCTCACTGCATGGCGAGAAACAAACCCCCGGTATGATTGTTTCGACCGTAGCTTTAGGCGACGACTTCTGTGTCGTCGTTGTCTGTGATGCTCTCGCAGCAACAGGTTCAAGAGTGACTGCCATCTCATGGATCGGAGGGCAATTTGTGTGTTTCGTGTGTTTCTTGGTAAAGCTCCTATGCCTTCATGAAGGTTTGGCGCGTTTGAGGCAGGCAACGGTTCGCACAACGCAATTTAGTAGGTTGCGGGAACGCGTGTACGCCCGAAGGGGCAGCATCCTCTCTACTTATAAGGTCGCTCGTACAAATCCGGGTTACATAAACTTTTGCGACGCTCCTACACGGGCAACTGTCGAGCCGAAAGTTGTCTAACTTTGGCAGATTGTGCATACAGTGACACTCAAAACCCCATCTCAATGGTGGCGATCTCTCGCACTTGGGGAAATGGTCTCAATTGGATGTCCCTAACAGCATGCCCTTCCGATTATAAAGATTCGTAACACTCTTCTAACCAATGATTCCAGAGAACAGTAATATGTGACCGAACCAAATAATGAAAAGACTGAATGAAGTCACCCGAGTCGGTGCGACGTTGACGCAGATTCCAGCGCCACAAATGGGGTAGATGGCCATGAGGGATTTCGAACTTGATTGACAATGCGTCCAGTACACACCTCGTCAACGCCGGAGGCAATGACTGGTCTAATATGCAACAGACTTTTCTGGCTGTACTTCTCTCGCGTCTTCAGCAATGATGTCTCGGTCGCTTGCTTCCGAGCCTCAAGAAGTTCTTCTGTCATGGCTTCGAATACTTCATACCAAGTGGCATATTTGAGGAAGCAGGTTCGATTGCTTCTGTCTCGCTCTTGCCATCCGAGGGTCCCGTTTGCCGCAGACTTTTTACCGATAGCTTTGGACCTCGCTGAATCACTGACACTGGATATGGCACACCTTAGGTGGGGGCTGTAAAGTCATCTCTTCGAGAGGCAGGTACCGTTCGCACCGTCGCCTTTTACTTTAGTCGAGAACGGGGCTTTATTGTCTTCAACTGCAAACGACTTCGGCCCATAATTTCCCCAGAAACACATCATGAGGGGGAGAATCCCGTGTCTTTCTGACAGTCACCTCTGTAAAGGTTATTCTTCCCACATCCTTCTCCACCGTCATCGTCGACCTTTTTGTTTGCGCACTTCCTGCCTCATAACGTCGTCTGTCCCTCTATCCAGCCTCGTTGCTAGATACCTACCTATCCTGCGTTGGCTCCTCCGACGTCCAACTTGGCAGGAGCAAACGACATTGGTCTCTTTCCCGATTTGAAGAAGGTACTTCAAAACCATCCGTCTGCCTTCCAGCACCTGACCTGCCAACCCACCTGCATCGCGCCTTCTCAAACCAAGCGACCGACCTACCTCTTTTTCAACACTTTTCGGCTACCTGCATTCTCTGTTTATCCCACTTGCCTCCTCCCACTTACCTCTTCCACCTCACATCTTCAGGCAGGGCACACTCTTCCCCGCCCAACTTGCTCCCGCCGTCTACCTTCCCACAACAACACTGACTTCGTAGGTGTTGTGACCTTCTCCAAGCCCGATACTTTCGCGTTTTTCTGTCGACGTCTTTGTCGCTTTTTTGACGACGCAAAATCAAACTCGGCATTGTTTGCGTCTGCTAAGCCAGCTCTTGCGCTTTTCTCAGCAGATGAACCTCACAGCCGTACCCAAGGTAGGTAACTTCCTCAGATTCTTCGCAATGGACGGCAACGATGAGGAAGGCAGTGAGAGTGACAGACACCTTCTGCAGGTGACAACCAGCCCCTCCATCTACCTACCTAAGGTACCTTACCTGGGTGTAAAGACATGGGGTCTCCTGGGCCGTCGTCCTCTGCCGTCCTCGTCGTTCAGCATCATCATCCCTCACTACTTCACGCTGAATTTTGTGCTGACCAGCACAAGATGGCAGAAATCTCTGGAGAGACGGAGAATGGCTTCCTCAAGGCCACCGACACTGATGGTGATTCGGCGGAGTCGCACTTTCCGATCCCAGAGTCTGTTCCGGCGCGAGCGCAGTTTGTGGCCGAGTTCACCGAGACTGCGCAAGCCGCGAACATCGAGCTGCCTTCTTCAGCTTCATCTTCAGAAAGCGGCGAGCGAGCGCCCATGCCTTTCACGCCTCCCGAGGATGGAGTTGCCGGAGCAAGCTTCTTCGTCGACCCTCGACACCTCTCTACGTCTGCAGTGGCTGGACTCGAACCTAGCGACGAGGACTCAGATGACCCGATGGCGGTATGTGTCATAGCCAAGATTTGCCAACTCTGCTAACCCGTTTGACAGGAAAAGAACCGCTGTTGTGGCCCCCGAATGGTTCATTCGTTCAAAGACCAAGAGGAATTCGCCCTGGCTCATCGTGAAGGAACCATCATTGAAATGGCCAATGAGGAGGCTACCTATCGGCGATTCAACACCAGGACAGAGTCTACTCATGCCTGGGTCATGAATGCCCTGCCCCCACCCTCCAGTCTCATCGATTCGGACTTAGAAACCAGCTGGCTCGTCCTCGTCGAACTGCCGGCGGACCAAGACAAGGTGTTTCCAGCCGAGGAATCTGCTTGTGATATCGGATTCAAGCATGATTTCACGATTGGTGGACATGTCTTCAATCCCGGCATGATGAAAGCCGAGCGTATACCCAACGTGTTCGACAACGGCCAAGATAACGGAAGTATCTTCAACGACTACGCCAGGCATGCGGCTTTCAACGTCACCGCCCCGTACATGAAGGATCCTGTCAGCCGTGAGAGGTACCACCCATTGGCAGAAATTGCGGTTTCGCAGCGCTTTGGTGCTCTTCAGTACCCCCCTTTGACTTCTGGGAATGCTGTCATGGTCACTATTCGCGTTGCGGCTCGGCTTGTCACTCATGACACCGAACTGAAAGCATTGTCCACGCTGATGCAGCGTGAGAGAAACCTGAGCGCGCTGGCACAGAGGGCACGCCACACCTTTGATTACATGCTGGATTTCCGGAAACCGCCTACCTTCTACGTCGACCTCTTCAGAGAGCTGCCACATATGGATAACCCAGCGGGCAATCCTCAGACCCCCGCCCACCTCAAGTCTCTCTACAGAGGGCTCAATTCTGACCACAAGAAGGTGTACGAGCAATTTCGACATATCCCGGCAGGGCTGGCGCTAATCCTGGGATGCCCCGGTGCTGGAAAGACTGCACTGAATGCATTCATCGCTGCAATGGCTCTCTCGGCCCCTATTCAAGAAGAAGTCGACGGCAAGACCGTTACCAGACCTGCAAAGGTTCTGTATCTTCTTGACGTAAATGCGCCGTGCGACGATGCGGCAAACCGGGTACACAAGACATGCAAGGAAGCCGGTATCAGAGCATCGGTCATTCGAGTTCGTGGATGTGCTCGTGAGATGAGCCGCAGCGTCAAACTGCACCCGCCTGCAAAGGGCCAGAATGACGTCGCAGGAGATGTCCCGGACTTTACCAGGGGCTTCCTCATGCAGTTTGAGACGTCGCGAGTCTGCAAGATAGGCCCAGCTAGCATCGACAAGGCGCCATCTCTCGATGAAGCCGCGTGGAAGGCATTCGACAAAAAGAAGTCCCGATACAAACAGCTTGCGCAGGCTCTCCAGAAGCTTGAAGGCGACGTCGTCAAAACTCGACGAACTTCCGCGGAGCTGAGAAGACTGGTCGCAAACCTGTACTTCGATGTTATTCGAGCTGCTGACTTCATCGCGACCACCCCTGTCGGCGCATCGGGGCAAATGGGCACTCTTTTCAAGCCAGACCTCGTGTTCGTTGATGAAGCAGCCCACGCAAGAGAGTTGACGTCTCTCATTCCCTTGGCATTCACTCCAGCTCGAGCATACATCTTCACTGGCGACACTCGACAGACCAGACCTTTCGTCCAAGGTGCATCCATGTCGACCAGAGAGGCAGGACAGAAGATGCTGAAGCTGAATCCATACGCTAAGCAGCTCATGATCAGCACGATGGAGAGAGCTGACCTTGCCGGCGCTCTCAAGAGCAAGCTGCTGATTACACACCGTAAGTCGCCCCTGCTTTTTTGTCGCATTTGTTATCATTGCCTCTGTTGTCGTCGTCCGCTGTCGTCGTTGTCGTCGTTGCCCCTCTCCATTCAATGAAGTTAGGCTAATAAGATCCAGGAATGTACGGAAATCTGCACATATTAGTGTCTGAGCTATTCTACGACGGGCTTCTGAAGTCGGGTATGGCATCAATCGATCGATACCCCCTTCCAGTACAACATATACAGATCTGGCTGAGCCAGTTCATGCCTGGCCGCCATTGTGTGGTTCCGCGAGTGATGATTCATTGCCACTCAGCTCGAGAAAAGACGGAATGCCGCAGCTTCTACAACCCAGCCCATGAGTCTTTCATCAAGCAACGCTGTCTGGAGCTTCTGAACAACCCCAACTTCACTCGAGTCGATAGGCCTGACCAGCCTGGAAGAATACTGATCATCACCCCGTACAAGGCGGCTTTCAACCGATACAAGCAGTTCACGTCCGTCCTGCCTCCCCACCTGCGTGGCCGCTTACATGCTGAGGAGATGCACAACGCGATGGAAGCAAGAACCGTCGACTCGGCACAGGGCCACGAGGCGGATTTCGTGTTCGTGGACACTGTGCGAACGAAGACCGCGGGCTTCCTCAACGACCCCAAGCGCCTTTGTGTGATGCTTTCGCGGGCCAGAGGCGGTGAGATGATTTTGATGAACGAGGGAATGACCACTTGCATGAGGTCTGGGGTCGAAATTCCTGCAGAATGGACCTCTCGTGTTTTTGAGCACTGCCGCGGCAATGGCCAGCTGTGCTACATTTGAGGTATTTGAAGGTGTGCGCAGGATATGGATGCGATGTGTGCCGTGTGGGATTGAAATGGGTAAAGCTAGTCAGTTTAGTTAATGAAGAGTCCCGTCTCCTTGCTTTCACCCCTAGCTTCTGAGAGACGACGAGAGACGAAGAGAGACGACAACAGAAATGGCAGAGATGGATGTTGCCAAGAGGTCACCGCAGCCATCAATCATTGCAAATAAGAATAGTAGAATGATAAACATCGAGTGTCGTGCTTACGAAGACTCGCCAGATCATCTTATCGCACCTGGGGAAATGCACGAGTGATGGACGTGATGCCAGAGCAAATTCTCTTAAGAACGCAATCACTGCCAAGACAATCATCGGAAAGAGACATTCCCATCTACGGATTCGCGATCATTTCTATGCATATCAAGCGCCAAGGACGTCCCGTCCAACGACGAGTACGTAGACCAAGTCGGCCGAGATGTCGTTGACATTGTGTGGGCGCATCGTATCGTATGCGGCAGGTAACCGCTGGGCCGGGTTCTGTGGCTATTTTAGCCCGAGACTTTGTCGCAGAATAAGCACCAATTTGAGTGCGCAGGATCCGCCGTGACAGGGGTCTGCTCACCATAAGGAGCGAGCCCCTGGAGATTTCCCCAGTGTCCAGCTGGACAAGCAAAAGGGCAGTTTCCATAGGCTGGCACGGTTTGGCTGGCGAGTTGGAGGCAAGGGTGATGCTGTCAGTGTCAACGCATGTTGCGCGGACACTGTCGTCTCTCATGCCGTTCCTGCTGCTGTAAGACAGAGGTTTGAACACGATGAAACTTTGAGCACGTAAGATGGCCATCGTTTGGCATTTGACTCTGCTTCTGCTTTCTGCGGCAGCGGGAGGAAATGTTGTGCGGTAGCCGTATTCTCCCCGTGGCAGCTGCCGGCATCTCGGTCACGGATTGCGATCATCTCCGCTGAAGTATTCTGCCCACCTGAAAAGTACGGATAGTCCTAACGGTGATGGAGCTTGACCCCACCAACTAAGGGTTTTGACAGGGTCTGGTGCTCACGGAACATTCCTCACAGCGCTCCACGGTCGTCGCCCGCGGGAACCATGGCCAGTGGGTGGCTGGTGGCAGTGAGCAGCGGTACAGGATGACGGGGCACAACGGCCAGGACTCCAGGAGAAAGGGACTTGCACTGAAAGCTTCCACCAGTCCTCCAAGTACCAAGTCCAAGGAGTCCAAGGCAGGGGTCGTGGAGAGGCCGTGTGGCGGGGCAGGAAATGGCGCTGCGGGCGATACGATTGGATCACTCGAGCCAATCCGCCGGAATTATGGGGGCAAATTTTGATAGCGAGATACCTGCACGTGGCCGCAATCTTCGCCTAGACCCGGCTTTTCTTGCTCTGCCCGGCCACCTTCGTCGGCGGTTTTCAGTCTTCACCCCACCAGCCCGCTTGAGCCACAAGTCGCTGCAATGTACCTCCTTACTCTGCAGCCGACGTGGAGGCGGGAGGCAACCCAGTCCGACCTTGGCCTGCCTGTGACCCTGAAAGTCCACTCCAACTCTCCCCGTACACTTGGAGGGTACAACGCCCGCGCTTTGGTGAGGCTGAAGACCTGCACCGGCCTAATTAATCCAAACTGCCCCCATTACACTGCTGACTTGAACTGCACCTCATCCGTTTCCTCTTTCGTGGGCTCATCGCCATCACGGCGACCGCTCATCCACAGCAAACCCAATCTCACCAGCTTTACTCACTACGAATCCCGTCGCTCGAGGACGCAGTATCGATTGCTCGTCCTCTCATCGCACTCGCCGTCTACGCCGCCGTCATCCGAGTGTCACAGGTCCCTGGGGGGTGGTTCATGTGGTGCAGCGAGTGCTGACGCGTGGTGCCTAGAATGGCTCCTCCCGCAGCCTCGTCTGAGGGCATTGCCGCCCAATCAGACCTTGGCGACACTGACGACACCTCATCATTAGCAGCTTCGATTGACATGGACCGATTCAGGCTTCGCGGACAGCCGCTGTCTCTTCACTCACGCTCGACACTGGAACCTCGGAGTGAGGCATTATCTAAAGGAGGTCTTGCCGGCGTTATTGTTGGCATCATTATCTTCTTCGTACTTGCTATCATTTGCGCCTACCCCTTCATAATCCGTCGCATCAAGGGCAAGAGAAATGGAACGAATCGTCTGGACACGGCGGAAACCGCCTTCATCCCCACGCCGCTCCGTCCATCGGGAAACGTGCCTACGACTGGTCCAGCTGCGTCTAGCCGCATGTCATCACGAGACTCATTGGGCAACAAGAATGAAGCTCTTCAAGGGCCGGACCGGCAGTCAACCAAGGAGCTGAACGTCTCATCCCACGGCACCGACCCATCCAAACGAGATTTGGGAAGCTACCAACGTGGCTGTACTGGCGACGACAGCTCTCATGCACCAAGCGTTACCACCAGACGCGGTACTGACCACACCTTCGGCCGCGCCTCTACCTGGAAGAGCGAATCGTCCTATCCATGGACTCCTGTCGGCATAGAGCTGGTCGCTACTCGGGCTGACGGAATGGAATACTCGGATGCCACTCAAGGACACAGTGCTACTTACTACAGCCCGACCATCCCTTCTGAGGCCTTCGGCATGGTCACCCCGCCTCCCACAGATGAACCTGTTCCCGCGCCGCCGCCGAGGCGATCAAGCTCTTATGCCAGCTCCCTGGCGAAGAACCTTCTCCAAATGTTTCCCAAGGGTCGGTCAAGCACCAAGGATTCTCAGTCAAGGGGGGCAAAGATTCAGCCAACGCAAGAGTTGTTGAGGGAGGGCTTGTCAGACTCGCCAACTCAGCTTACCGGGCCATTCTCCCGCGAAATAGGACCCGGCGCGACCTCCACGCGCGGACAGCTGGGCTCCCCATTCAACCCGCCTAGCCCCAACTCAGAGCCTGATCAGGCTCAGGATTCGGGAACCACGAAGGAAGGAAAGCAGGAATCTCCGCCAATTTTGCCGCCTGTGTCGCCTGCACCTGGAACTGTCAACCCCATGGATATTATGGCGCCGTCGAATTTGACCGAGCAGACCTGGCACACCAACCAGCAACTTTATAGCATTGCTCACCCGCCCCCCAAGCCTGTTGAGCCAGTCCTGGTTCCCGAGCCATCACAAGCGCCAACCCCGCAGTCCCCGGAGCAGCCTTTTGAGCACCACCAGCAGTACCTACAACAGCAACAACAAGATCAGCAGCAGCAACAGCCACAGCAAATACAGCAACAGCAGCAGCAGCGATGGGATCAGACAGGGGTGGCGAATGGAGGACTTGTTGCGAATGGCAATGGACATGTCCAAACGAACGGCTTCAAAGCTCCGGCCGGTGGTCGTCCCACTGAACACGATGTCCGCATGAACGATGTGCCCCAGCAAGTTGATCCGACTCATCTTATGCCCGACCGGACCAACCACTACTATGAGGGCGAAATTACCGATCCGTCTGAACATTCTCCTCAAATGGGTGGTCACGTCTCATCCGGGGCATCGTATCAGACGACGCCGAACACCCAGATCGACAGTAGCCCATCGCCTCCGTCAGACAACAGCTCAGATATACGCAACAGTGCCTCGCCGTATCCAGGTCTGCAGCAGCAATCTCCGCGCACATTTATGTGTGATGAGTGCGGCAGATTTTTCGATCAGGTTCATAAGTTAAAGTGAGTCGCTTCGAAGGCTGTTCGCCGTCCAAACGCTAATTGATATAGCCACCACAAGCGGTACCACGAGCGACCGCATGAATGTACTGAGCCAAACTGCGGCAAGAGATTTGGAACCAAAACCCATTTGGATCGCCACATCAACGACAAGCACAGGAAGACGAAGAAATTTCACTGTACGGTTAGCACTTGCCCTTACTCAAAAACGGGGGGCAAGTCATTCCCGCGAAAAGACAACTGGAGGAGACATATGGTCAATATTCACCAAGTTACGCCTATGGGCGACCCGGAACCCGATTTAGTCGACGAAATCATGGGAGGAACCTGAGCGTGGCGAGAGGGGCGTGCGCCCGGTCGACAGGTGCCAAATACTAGTTCATCGGAAGACGGACATTAACCCCAGCAAACGGTTGGGGTCCGATGCCCGAACGCGAACGGACGACGGACAATGCTTGGGAAGTGGTCAGTCGAGTATTTGACAGACGCGTGAACTTGCAAGCAGATTACCCCAGAGCCTCCCTGTGGCTCTGATACGCGGGTGCAAATGCTTGACTTCAGCAGAGCTGGATTCAGGTCGGCAACTCAAAGAGGAAGCCAAATCCCCGCGACGCTCACAGGCACCATTCTTTCTTGCCACAGAGCAACCTGTTTATATATCATTGGATATTTTCCCCTAAGGTTTGGGAATATTAGGCAATCAAGGCACATTCGTTCAGGGACTGCAATGACAGCAGTAAGGCGTTTTGATGCCAAGAGTTGGCTGGGGAAACATGTAGAATAGGCCAAAAGCATCACGGTGGCGCGTATGATTAACTCAAATCTTTGATTAAGGACCTGACAAGTTTCTTTTGTTGGTCGATCGAGAGTCCACGCTCGTCTGTCTCCTGAATGGCCCTTCCCACCGCGATAATGACCTTGATGCTCTCGCTGTTCACCCAGATCTTGCCGTTACGGCCCACGGCCGTCTCGAACGCGGCGCCCGTCGCACCCAGCTCCTCCAGAACCACAAGGTCCGTCGTCTTGGGGCTCAGCAGACGACGCGCCATGCCAAGGGAGATGTTGAAGAGCATACCGCCCACGAGAGGTCCCAAACCGTCGGCCTTGCCAGTGGACTGGTAGACGCACTCCAGCTCGGGGTCCATGTGTTTATTCGCAAGGGTGACGCGTGCGTAGACGAGGGCGCCTGAGTCAAGGTGAGGGCGGTTCTTCTTGGACGCCATCTCGAAAGCGAGTTGGGGGAGGATTGCAGGTGTCGAGTAGTCGGCCAAGAGGACGTAGTAGATTTCGGAGGCAGAGCGCTGGACGGTGCCGACGACGAGGTCGCCAACGGCGGGGATGTACTGTATTCATCCAGTCAGAATTGCCTGTGTATCAGCCGAGAGAGATTGGACCTACCCTTCCGCCAGTCTGTTCAACCCATATCGAGTTCTTCTTGCGGTCTGTGACGAGCTTGCCCGCGATTGTCGGGACTATTTGACGAGGAGGCACATGGCGAAGGCCAGGACCAAGTCTGAGAGGAAGCTTCTGGTGGGACGGGATCAGAGACGCGTCAATCTCTTCCCCTGGGAGGACGAAGGGGCCCGCTGTAGCCATGGCGAAAGCGGGTGACGACGAGAATGTTGAATTGGAATCGTCAAGTTCTGGGCCAAGGCGCTTCTCTCAGTCGCCTTTCAGCGGTCTCTTCGCTGCCGATCAGCCTTGCAGAGGCTGGAAAGCTTTTGGCGGGGCACTTTCCAAATTCACACCGAATTTGATTGGGACACGACCGGGGGTTGTGGAGAAGGTACCCCGATGCCACTGGGCGAACAGCGAACGTGGGAATTTTTTTTTTCCCTTGCCCAAAATTTTGGCCTTGAACCCCCACCATTATCAACATTGAAAACAACCTCACCAAAGATCTCGACAGGATCCGCGGCAACTCTCGACACCCTACGTCCCCCGTCCGTCCCAGAGACTTTCAGATACCACCTATATACGCAACAACCCTTTGCGACCTATAATATAGCACAAATGGCTGCGAACGGTGACTCGCGCCCTGCGCCGGGCGACCGCACCGTCATTGGTATCACCTTTGGCAACTCCAACTCCTCTATTGCCTACACCGTCGACGAGAAGGCTGAGGTTATTGCCAACGAGGACGGAGGTGAGATCAATCGCCTGTTACACTAGGTTGTTTGTGCTGTAAAGAGCAGAAGTTCTGACGAATTGCCTGCAGACCGCCAGATCCCCACCATCCTCTCCTACGTTGACGGCGACGAGTACTACGGAGCCCAGGCCAAGAACTTCCTCATCCGCAACCCCGACAACACGATCGCATACTTCAAGGACTTCCTCGGCAAGGAGTATGTCTTGTGCTTTTAAAATGTGTCTTTCTATCTCATTTGGCTAACATGCCCGCACCAGGTTCAAGTCCATCGACCCTACCCACAACCACGCCTCCGCCCACCCCAAGGATGTCGACGGCACCATCTCTTTCACAGTAAAGGACAAGGAGGGCGCCGAGGAGCCCTCTACCGTGCCTGTCTCCGAGGTCGCCACCCGCTACATTCGCCGTCTCGTCGGCTCTGCCTCCGACTACCTTGGCAAGAAGGTCACCTCTGCTGTCGTCTCCGTCCCCACGAACTTCTCCGACAAGCAGAAGGAGGCTCTCGTCAAGGCTGCCAACGATGCTGGCCTTGAGGTTCTCCAGATCATCTCCGACCCCATCTCCGCCGTTCTTGCCTACGATGCTCGCCCCGAGGCTGAGGTCAAGGACAAGATCGTCGTTGTCGCCGACCTTGGTGGCACCCGTTCCGACGTCGCCGTCGTCGCTTCCCGTGGCGGCATGTACACTATCCTGGCTACCGCCCACGACTACGACTTCTCCGGCAGCCACCTCGACCAGGTCCTGATGGACCACTTCGCCAAGGAGTTCATTAAGAAGCACAACGTCGACCCTCGCGAGAACGCCCGCTCCCTCGCTAAGCTCAAGCTCGAGTCCGAGTCCACCAAGAAGGCCCTGTCCCTCGGCACCAACGCCAGCTTCAGCGTCGAGTCCCTGGCTGACGGCTTCGACTTTACCTCCACCATCAACAGATTACGTTACGAGATGTCCGCCCGCAAGGTCTTTGAGGGCTTCAACCGTCTCGTCGAGGGCGTCGTCAAGAAGGCTGAGCTCGACGTTCTTGACATCGACGAGGTCATCCTGTCCGGCGGAACTGCCCACACCCCCCGCATCGCCGCCAACTTCGCCAACGTCTTCCCCGAGTCCACCCAGATCATCGCCCCCTCCACCGCCCCCTCCGCCATCAACCCCTCCGAGCTCGGAGCCCGTGGTGCCGCCCTCCAGGCTTCCCTGATCCAGGAGTACGAGGCCGACGACATCGACCAGAGCACCCACGCTGCTGTCACCACCGTCAAGCACATTGCTAACGCCATCGGTGTTGTCGGCGCTGACGAGGAGTTCGTCCCCGTTGTCCCCGCCGAGACTGCCGTCCCCGCGCGGCGCACCATCCAGCTGTCCGGCCCCAAGGACGGCGGCGACGTCCTCATCCGCATCGTTGAGGGCGGTGCCCACATCAAGGTCACCAAGCCCGAGCCCAAGGCCAAGCCCGAGCCCAAGGCCAAGCCCGAGACCAACGGCGACGATGAGGACTCCGACTTCGACTCCGAGGAGGAAGAGGAGGAGACCCGTGAGAAGATCTGGAAGGTCGGCCCTACCCTGGCCGAGACCGCCGTTCGCGGCGTCGGCAAGGGCTCCAAGGTCGAGGTCACCATTAACGTTGCCGCCGACCTCGGTCTCACGATAACGGCGAGGGAAGTTGGCGGAAAGGGCGGTGTCCGCGGTACCGTCAAGGCTCCTTGAATGCTAGACGAAGGGAGAAAAGAGCAAATGTAGAGAGAAAGACACATAAATCGTGTGCGTTAGCCAGGCGCAATGTGGTGGTTAAAAGAAGGGGAGGGAACTCATCTGTCAGGTCCTCCTTATTTCAGCATAGATACATGGATTTTATATGGCGGAGGGTGGGGGGAAATGGATTGGAACGAAATCACTGGGAACATAGACGAGAGAGGCAAAACGCATGAATGAGAAGAACGTCAAAAAGTGATGAATTACCTCTTACCAACGATTTTGCTGCCTCAGATGGTGTAAGGGGGAGGATGTGAGAAGCCCCATCTTTCCTCAGCACGAATACAAATCGATAACTCAATCGCCAATGCAATATGCAACAGTAGTATTGTCTTAAAGATAGCTAGCGCTGGAAAGGAAGGAACAAATAACATGGTCGCTGATGCATCCATACGCCCTGCTGACTGAACAGAATCCGCCGATATATAGTAAAGAGAGTTGCCGAGTGCGCCTCAATCATGCCTTACGACACAGCGCCAGGGAGCCTCCACGCCACAAGATCGTCCCGTACATCAAACTCCTCCAGCTCCCTGTTCCTCCGGGAGTCGCGCCCGCGGTCGCTGCTGCCTATCGTCGGTGCAAGGCTCGCCATGCTCCCGCTCCGGCTCCTCGAGTACGGGTACCCGCTGCGTCCGCCGCGGCCATCGTCGTCGCGAAGCTCCCTGCGGCCATGCCGGGAACCGCGTCGGCCAATACCGGCAGTCGTGCTGCTCGCGCCGTCGTTGGCGCGGGCCGTGAGGACGGTGGTGAAGCTGCGGTCGCTGGAGCCGCTGTTGCTGCGGGAGTGGTTGCGGGCGTTGCCGCCGCCGTTTTGGTGCAGGTGTAGCGTGAGGTGGTGGTGGTGGTCCTGTTTCTGCTGCTGCTGTTGTTGTTGCTGCTTCTGGCGTTCTTGTTTTTGCTGTAACTTGCGCAAGTCTGACGGGCGCAGAGTGCCCATGCCGCCCTCGTCGGAGCTCAGGGAGCCGTTGTTGTCGAGATCGAAGGTCGCGGTCTTGCCGGTGCGGCCGGTCCTACCGGTGCGCCAGCCGTCGCCGCCGGAGAAGATGTCCTCGATGCACTCGTCTGCGGGGAGCTCGCCAGGCTGGCAGGACCAGGAGGCTGCGAGGGCGCGACGGTACATGTCTTGAACCTCTGACGCGTCGCGCGACTTTGCCATGGTGGGAATTTCTGTGAAGGTCAGCGAGGAATGCCAAGGGTTTGCGTTGAGGGGTAAGGGGCACATACGCCCTGCGTCGTCCTGCTCGACTTGCTCGCCTGCCATGATGCCGGCGATTCCTCCAAAGACGGGTGCTGTTCTCAGCGGCGGCGCAGAGTACCCCTTGTCGCCATCCAGCTGTTTCATGAAAATCCCTATCTTCAAGGTGCTGTTGATCTTGCTGTCCTGCATGAGGTAGCGCCTGACGATGCCGTCCTCGACATCAGGGTCCTCCAGGATGGGGGCTTTCATCGACTTGGGACTCGTGCTTGCAGTGCCGCTGCTGCGCTTGCGCGCGTGGCCGCGGTCGAAGCTGCTACTCTCGCGGGTGAGGCCATCGCTCTCCTCGACGTACTCGCTGAGGTTCAGTTGCACCTTGCCGAGCGAAATCTTTTCATCGTGGCCGCCACCGGAAAACTCTTGCAGTACTTCAAACTCGACGGGGCACTCGGTCAAGTTGTTGTTCTTGTCGATGCTGATCCGGATGTGACTGACTACCTTTTGGTAGTTGTACTCGACCTTATGGTTGGAGATGGGGCACTTGGGAGTGCGGCCCCGATGCTCAGCGATGATGGAGTGAGAGAGGTGCCATTTCACTATTGATGTTCCAGACACCAGCGGGACGTTGTTTAGGTCGTAGATCTGGGAGATGTTAGCCAGGAAACCTTTGTTATAACAAGCTAGGTATAGCTATTGTGGATGGTGTTCGCAAACCTTTAGGTGTAGCTCAAACTTTGGCTGCGTCACAAATTGTTAGCACGCTTATCGTTCGTTGAGTGGTCCGAATGCAAAATGCACATCCTCCACTTTCCGAGGGATTGAGTTTCTCATGACAGAATGTGGGTACAGACGGATGCTTTACCTTTCTGTTCTTATTGACTGTGGGAAGGAAGCCCCCGTTAGCAAAGCTCTTGAGAGGACTCATGATGAGCGAGTGATATTCTAGGTTGACGGTAGAGAGTTGTGGCCGGAGCGGGAAGCAAAACGAGGCAGGGACTCAAAAGCCCCGAGCCCCCAAGGTAGGACGTAAATCAAGGGAGAGACATGGGAATGGCAATAATAGGTGGTTAGGATGCTGCAGTGACGACGGTGAATGAGTGAGGCTGGCGAAGCCACCAAGAAAGCCACCAAGTCCTTGTCTCAGTGAGATCTCAGCCTCATGGACAGGCTCAAGCGTTGCCAACCACGTGGGGGTTCAGGAATGAGGGGCCCGATATAGGATAAAAAGGGTAAGGTGAATAACTGGACAGCGAGGCCGAAAAAAAGCCCAGCTCGACGACATAGGACGAATGGCGGTTGGGAATAGGGCAGAGGAGGGAGGGTGTGAGGGCTTACTTAAGGAAGCCATGTTTCACGGAAGGCATGGCTGGCTGGGCTCCGTCCGTTGGGGGCGAGTTAATAATACTTTGCGGCCCGGAGTGAGGACTGCACCCCTTCGGAGGGGGAAACAGGCAATGAGTGAGCGCGCGGGCGGCAGAGTTGGTGCGGGCAGGTGCAAGGACAGGCAGGGACGGGCAGGCAGAGGCAGCGACAGCAACGGTCAGACTGTCAGCGGCGTTCGTTCGGTTTCGGTATGACCGGATAATACGGTAGGTACGGCGAGGGGGACGGTCAGGTAAGGTAGGGAGAGGAGGGGGGCGGGATCGTAATGTGGCTAGTAGATAACGGGATGCCGCCGCCGACCAACTTCACCGCGACCTTGATTTTCTTGATGGATGCCCTTTGGAGGAAGGCTCAAGATTGCATGCAAGGTCAGTGGCCAATCAGCCGTGCCTGGCTTTGTGTGTTTGGTCCGGCAGTCGTCGTCCGTCCGTCCGCTCAGTCGGTCGTATTGAATGCGAGTAGTATCGAGATGTGACGAGTGGGTTGGCAGTTTCGGCGCCTTCAACCCCGTATCTGTCAATGGCGCGGATGGAGTAAAATTACACAGCCAACAAGGGTGAAAGCAGCGGCCGAGACAGATGCAAAACTCGATGTTTGGCGAGCGGGCGTCGTTGGAAGGTAATAAGGGTTCTTGCAAGAGTCGTATAATTATGCAGTCCTTGACCGATGATGAAAGAAGAGAGTTTGGACGAGGTCAGGCGAATACGTAACTCATCCGGTGTATTGGGAGCTTGCCCAGCCATGCCTGCATCCATCCCCGGAGTCCGGGCGGCCAGCACCGCGGTGGGCTGGGCTGGACTCGCTCCAGTGTAACGGGCCACAATGGGGTTTCCTAATTATCGCCTCCTAGCCTGCGCCACAGCAGGTCGAAATCCATTGCCGTAACACTAGGCTTTATCCTAGGACAGAGTCTTTGTGAGCCTGTTGATTTCTCGGTAAAATGCGAAGGTCGAGGTTGGCGACACCATCACGACCGTCAGAAATGCCTGTTTCGGCATCTGGAATGGGTGAGTTATTCTTGGAGGATTCCCTCACTCATCCCGTTTGAAGTTCGGCATTGCAGCCGTGTACGTAAGCATCTCCAGCGAGCCAAGCGCTGAAGCGAGGCCTTCTTCAGTGGAACTGCCCCTGTGGGACGACCACGACTCAAGCCATCTGTTTATTCCATTTCACTCTGGACCTCTTCGTCGGAATAATTTCTCGAAACAGTGCATGACTACTTGCCAAAACACCCATCACATTTGTTTAGTCTTTGATCTGTTTCCGGTTTACCTCTCTTCACTCTCGTTCTCTGTTGGTCGCTGTCAATCGTTGTCGCCGGAGATCATCGACATTATGACGCGGAACCTCACCGATTTGCTCTCAGAATATCAATCTCCCCCGCGATTCTAAGGAAGCCAGAATTTGGCTTAGACGTTCCATCTCGCCTTTCTATGGGAAAAAGCCACGCAAACTCCATCCTGGGAATGCAGAGTGAATGTGTAGTACCGTGGATCGTCTTCTCGTATCCAGTCTCACTCCCTGGTTCTAAGGACAGATCACAGCGTCTGCTCAACCTCATGCCGTGGTTCCCTCATATGAACTTACTCACCAAAGAACACCAAATAGCAACAAGCATCACGAAATGCTCCAGGCACCCAACCGAAGATAGGCGAAGTGGTCTACTGTGCTGCAGCACACAGACAAGGTCAAGCCCTCGAACATCCCGAACTCTGATTCTCAGGTACGCGAATCGAGGACCAGTGATGATGCTGTTCCTTCCCCAGAAGCACCAGGGTGCCGCCCTGCTTCCAAGGCCCCCAGCAATTCGGAACTGACCGCGACATGCGTCAAGACGAACACCTTCCCGCTTATGTGTCTGTATGAGGCCACTAGGAAAAACACGAGATCGTATCGCGATGCAGCATCCAAGACATACGACCAGCCACCAGGGCGCCCAGACGTCAAAACCGCCCATTCCAGACCCTTCGTGAAACTACCAAACAGCCTCAAGAATCAAGTGATCCCGGGTTTTCATCGCAGGAGGGGCCAAGGGTCAGCCAACCGCCCAGCAATCCCGCCCCGGGGCACGCTACCCGTCAACCCTCCCGTCCGAGTGACGCAGTGCCGGCTCCACACCTCACTCAACATCCCAGTTGAGAAAGTGTTCAAACCCAAGCACGAGAAAAAAAGAATTCTCCGAGCCGCATACGTCATACCATGCTCCAAAACCACAGCAACAGTCCCCCCCAGAGGAAGCTATGTCATCTCCTGCATGAGAACCTGCTTCGGCGCGCAAAGGAGGGATGAGAGGGAAATGAGACAACCACGCGCGCCGCCACACACAGCCCCAGGCAAAAACCGAGCAAGCGCTCGCCGCCACCACGTTTTCCAATCTGGGGCTGGCAAACCGTCGACCCAGCACAGATTAAGCACCATGACATGACCGTTCTCCAATCAACAACGGGTCGTCTCTGCTCCTCGCCCGTCTCCTACTCAAACGAGCAACCTCCCCATCGACGCTGGACCAACAGCCCTGCGGGCTAACGTCAAGAGGGGGCATGGGGGCCACCTAAAACGTCTTTTCCCACACACCTTAATCCATCATCGTGCCGGCCGGTGCGTTTTGTCCGGGCGAATCCAGTCGTGTGATTGAAATCCGTGGGCCCTAGAGACGCAGTCACACTGCTCGGATCGCCACCCCCTGTGGCCTTTTTGCGGTGTTTTCAACCCTCCCTCGTGGCTACCTAAAATGAAAAATTTCCTACAGAGTACGTACATTGCCTGAAGGAAGCGGGAATCGAAAGGGAGAGGGACAAATGTCTGATGTATCACGGGGAGATTACCCCCTTGACGTCACTATGCCGTGCACCGTAAGTAGATCTCCTGCAAACCTCTACCGCCAAGATACCTCTTTCCGCGCCAAATTTCCCAAGGGGCGCCATACAGATGGCCCAATTTGTCCGATAAGGTGAAATCGACGATGGCCCTTCGCATTTTGGGCGGCGGCCGGCCCCACGGTATGGTGTCACCAGTCTGCGCTCTGTGATGTAAGGTGAGGTAAGAGCCTTGTTCCTTGTCACCCTGGCCTGGAGTACGCTCCGGTTGGTTCTAGTGTCGAGTGTTCGATCGTGTATATAAGACCATCCTTCCTTTCGACGATACGCTTTCTTGAAGTGCTCACCAGAACAACAACATCAAACAAAAACAAGCACACTTCACTTGAAGTCACAACCTCCTGTCAAACACAAACAAACCTCCCATTTCAACCAATCTACACAAACTGCAACCATGGGCGCCGTCGTCTCTTGCGTAAGTTCAATCTTCCGTAAAACCCAATGGCAGAATTTAATCCTGACGAAACATCCAAATAGATCCAATCGGTCTTCCGCACCATCGGAAACTGCCTGACCTCTGTCATCTCTGGCATTGGCGGTATCCTCCACGCCATCATCGGCGGCATCGTCTCCTTCTGCAACATTATCATCAGCTTTCTGACCTGCGGCTACTGCGGTCGTCGCGGCGGAGGCGGACGTCGCTCCCGTCACACCACCACGACTAGAAGTCGAGTCTGAGCGGGCCCTCGTCTGTAAATCCGAAGAATCACAGCACAGATGAGGGAGACTTGAGATCAATGTCATAAGCATGGACATTGTACGATTATGGAATTTCACGCGAGGGGGTGAGGACGGAGGTGGTGGATGATTCACTTTTACGACTGCGGCGAGCGCGAACAGCTTTGACAGCATACCCCCCACGTTTTCTTTGAAGATACCCACGATACCTGGTTAGCTTAGCTTGAAATGGTATTTTTACATCCATATTTGTGCCGTGACCTGAACATGGTTTGTTGTGATGCCTAAGTTCTGGGTTGGGACACATCATCTGCCATCTGATATTTTTGCTCGGGCAGTATACGAACCATGCAGGTTCTACGCTCCGACTTGATTGCTGAATTGAGAATAAGAATAGTATACAGTATATAGCTCACGATTCAATCTTCCAACACATTGCGATTGAAAAATCCATAAATCTGTCGCCCAGCTTCCTTCCCCACCATCGGCTCAAGCTCCCGCTCGTTCAAGTTCGCCACTTCTCTCAAATTCTCCGTGGCAAGCACCAATCGCATGATATTTTTAGGATTGACACCCGGTACGGCAGACAGCATCTCCTGCGGCTCGAGATTGAACGATTGGTCCTCTGCATTCATATCCTTGTCTAGCCCAGCGCGTACCGCAGCGATGGGATCCGGCTCATCCTCCTGCGACTTCAACGACTCAAAAATCTCGGCGGTCTGATACGGCGACGACGACCAGATGATTCGCAACTTTGGAAACGCGAGAGTGAGCAATACGAGCTTCGACTGCAGGTCAGACGATACATTAGTCGGCGCAATGCTGTTTAGACTGCCAGAGAGGTCGGCAAAAGGCTCCAGCGTGAAAGATTTGTTCTGGTCGAATTCAATGAGGAGCATCGGGTTCTTGTAATGTTGAAACATGGTCTCCGCCTGCGCGTACAGGCGGCCGTCCTTAAAGGACGAGATGAGATCGCTGATGGACTTTCGTTCGACACAGATGTTGGGCGATAGAACGTAATCGCCCACGGTCAACATGCAGGGCACGATAATCATGGAGCGCCCGTGGAGCAGTGAAGGTAATGAAGAGCGGAACTCTCTCACATCAACCACCACACGCGGCGGCTGCGCTGTTGCGGCCAGTCGGCCGCCGCCTGCAATTCTGGTGTTGATTGTACGGAGGAATGCTTCCTGCGGATCCTCAACCCCGTGAGGATCTACAGTCATGACCAACGACATGGACGCTCGCTCCTTGATCAACTTGGTAAAGGCGTCCTTTTCTCGTCTAACGCTGGAGAGATAGCGTTGCTCCTCGACAGACTCGCCATAGTAGAGGAAATACACGCGGACATTTCTGTCGTTGTGCGAGGACCGGTAGACTTCCACTCGACGGATGAAGGCGGCATCTGGTTCGTACATGATGATGTACCGCGGCTTCACCTCCTCCAAGACGTGCTCGTCATGGTCTCCGTCATATGCGTGAATAACAACGAGATCCTGCATCTCGTAGAGTTGGTAATAGTCCTCCATGTTCTCCAGTGGGTCAGTGACGATCTCCGGTTTCTGTTCGGCTTCTTCTTCGGTGATTTGAACCTCCGCCATGAGGTCTTCAACCTCTCCCGGCCGCTCAAAGAATTGCATGATGCTGCCATTCTCGGCTCGCGTGAGGGTTTGTCCACCAGCCCCGCCACCTCTCATACGCCTCCGCTTGTTTGACTTCCCTCTGAGCGGTTGACCTGCCCTGTCAGTCGCGCCATTCAGAGCTTTCTGATTCTCCGAGAAAAGTGTTGCGTTGACCTGGGCAAACTCCTTTTTCCATCGAAGATAATTGCGCAACTTTCTTCTCATCATGAAAGCTGCCGATGGCTGGTCCTCGTCTTCTTCGTCCTCCGCAGATGGATCCTTCTCAACCTTAGGCTTGAAATGCATCGTCTGCAGGTAGTCGCGGAGTTGTCTGCAGGTGTTTGTGTCGCCGCACATGATCAGGATGGTTCCATTAGAATCATCACGGGCTGGAGGGTCGAAGTGCATGCTATTGTCAATCTCTGTCAGAACATCTGCCAGCCAAGCCCATTTTGGTTGTTCCTCGAGCACAGGCTTGAGGGAGTCGATGTTGGCGTCTGCCGTGGCCGCCTTTGAGCTGGCTGCGTAGACTCTCCTTCGAGCAGTCTCAAAAATTGTTTGCGCGGCGTCAAGAAAAAGCCATGGAGACTGGTTTTGACGCGTTGAACCCGGAGGCGGTGAATGCGCCGCGTGGATTGTATCCAGGTGCTGGAGAAAGGAAACGGCGTCGAGTGTCAATACTGACGATAACATGCCACGCAGAACGCTCAAATCGTTGACAATCTGCCGCGTCTTCCAGCTGACTCGGTGCCAGTTTGGATCAAGCTGTCTCCGGATGATAACATCAAAGTTCTTGTGCAAGGCGCTGTCGAGATTCCAATCTTCCATCTCCAGACCAGTATTTCCTTTCTTCAACTCGTGGATGCTGACTTCGACGCACTCGAGAATGGAGTTCTGAATGTCTCGCATAGAATCCGTCATGGTGATGTTCAGCTCAATGACCTCTGCTGTCTTCTTGCCTTCCAGCGACTGGGCTACTGTGACATGAAATCGCGGCCATAATGATGCTTTCTTGAGAAATAGGTTCCTCATCATAGTAGACAATGGCGAAAAGCCCGTTGGAAATGGATCAGGATTGTCGGCAAACGCCTTCAAGAAGCCGGCCTTGTTTTTCTGGCGATAGATTCTCAAGATGAAGGCCTCAAGGGATGTCGCAACGACACGATCGGCGTGCAAGACCACGAGACCAGTCACTTTCTCGGTGTCGAGCAAATTCGTCAGTAGGTCGACGACTAAAATACGCGAGGTGATGCTGAAGATCCCGCCACGTGCGTACATCTTTTCTCTGGCGCCTACGCTGGTGAAGTCGGTGTTGACGACCGTGAGCCCCCTGGCGTTAGGGGACATGCTGATCGCGGCGTGCTCCGCGAGGGCTTCTCCGATCCAGTTGTTCTCACGGTCCTCCGCGCCGACGAGAATTATCAGATTGTTTCCTGCAGCATCATAGGAATGAAGCAGATTGGTGACCAACCGCATCAGCCCCAGCCCGCGGGCAAGTACGACAAGCTCATCTTCATTTCTCAGCTCTTGAAAGAGGTTTTGTTGGTATTCCTAGACAGGTGTCAGCATCGATACGTAACTTCCTGCGAGCAAGCGACTTACAAGGGGCAATGATAGCTTCACGGGCTGAGGAGCGTTGGCTGACATGATGCACCATGCTGGAGAGGAGGAGCGTCGATAGTAGGTCGTGTTGGCGTTGATGAGAATCAATGGCTGAATTCGGATAGGCCTTTGATGATGCCTGGCCCAGGACGTACCGTGTCGCGCACTGTCCAAAGGCCTGTGTCCAGCAGGATCGGCCTCCAGTGGGATGATCTAGCACTGTGCGCGTAGGCAGGCCACTTCATGAAATCACCCGCTGGTCGTACCTTCCATGCAACCAAGCAATTGACGGACGGCTTTCACGGGTACCTAGTTTCGAGGTTTCTCTTGGCTGCAAGTAGTTGCGCGGTATCAAAGTTTCCCTGAGTTTGCTCGGACTAAGCCTCATCTTTTTGGTCACTATTATCTGAGTGTTGCTTAACAGTTAAGCTTAATAACTTAGAGCCCGGCTGTTAATGTTTTCACGACCAATGTTGGAGTATGCAGTCTTCAGCACTCGCTTCAGGCAAAGGTGCCTCAGCAAGGCCTGGATGAGCAACCTTTGTATATTGCTGCGCCGATCTCTAGCTTCTTCATGCGGCTACTGATCTAGAATTAGAGACCGCCATCATGCCATCTGTAAGGCTTGGCATGGCCAAGATCTGATGTTGGATCTTCAACCTCAGTCGTCATTAGCGCCAACGCCATCTCGACTCGAGGTGATCTGGAACAGTGACTGGCAGACAAACTCGTGGGACTATGGAAACTACGTGTTGTCACTGGAGAGTAGCACCGTCTGTCAGGTTTCTGGCTCATCCTCTTACACGTTAGTGGCCGCGTGATATGCACGTAAGTCGCCGGTGACGCGCCGGACTCTTTTGGCAAGCATCTCCATCTCTCTACTTCCATGTGGATAGGGCGGCTACGGACGGACAATACAGATGTAAACAGCTGATGCCATCCGAAGCACGGTTTAGCACGTAGTCACTGCTTGCAAATTGGGAGGCCTTCCAGGTAAGCGGGGATAGTATGTTTGGGGTCGTCCAGTCACCTTCGCTTTCCCCTCAGTTAGCAGAACGACGTCATCAGCCGTCGCAACCCTCCACGTACCGCAGGCACGCTTCAACTCACATGTAAGCCTCCGACGAGATACTTTATAAACAGCCCTTCGTCCCGCTCATTCTTGCCTTGCTTCTGCCCAGACAAGACACCACCACCTTTCAAAACCAAACCTCAAACCAAACAAACAACTCAACCAATAATCATTCACAATGGCCGACAAGGTTAAGGAACTCGTTAACAACATCACCAAGGGCAAGGTAAGCGAACTCTTAGCCCCTAAAATAGAATCAAGCATCAGACTGACCTCCGAACAGGACTCCGAGAAGGAGAAGGAGTTCAGCGTCCAGCCCATCAAGGAGGGCGGTGTCGACCCCAAGTTCGCTGCCCACCAGGCGCACCCCGGCCCCGCCGTGCCCAAGGACTTCAACGCCCAGGAGGAGGGCACCAAGGAGGAGCGTAGAGCCAAGGCTGAGGCTCTCAACAAATAGAGAAGATGTCAGCATTTGACTCTTCATGATGTATGATCACAAATGACACTGTAGAATATGGGTCACGGAGGCGGCACCCGGGATAGGCACGGAGCCTTCGGAATTGGGCGGCGGATAGCGTCGTAATGCTCCAAATGAATTCATGAATTGATTCCCACATAATCTGAGACCGGTGAATAGGCGTGGCTATCCCGGATGATCGAATTCGCGCAGATCGTGACAATATCGAATCGTTTCTTTGCGATGTCTGTTTGAATTAGGAATCTTGGGCATGGCTACACGGCACAACCTTCTATCGAGATGGAAGAAAGGGTCGGTCCATCAATCACTGATCAGTCGACCAATGCAGCATGTTTCTTTGGAGACCAACAGATGCAACGCTGCAGGTTCCACGTCCCACAATGACGACAATCTTCCTCTCACTTCCACGTGGCGGTGCTGATGCGCAAGGTGTGGCTGGTACGGCGTATCGAGGGACCACTGCCTGCCCCCTTCAGGCTCACTGACTGCGCTGGCATACGCACCTCAGCGCTGCAAAGCTGGGGCCTGAGCTGACGCCCGAGCTGCGCCCGAGGGAGAGACACTGAGAGAGACCTTTGGTGAGGGAAACTCTGGAAACATCCCAGCTCGGCTGCCACTGAAACAAAGACTCAGCCACCTGCGGTGGCCCAGGGCAGCCGGTTACGAGTCCCGTCCGGCCCAGTCCCATTCGTGGTCTCCAGTGCTCCGCTACAGTCGTACCGTTCCCTCCATGCCAAATCGCCTGTCCACCACTCTTCTCGTTCAATCAGGTCCGAGTAACGTTTATTTCCATCGCACACACCACAACGACCAGGACCTCACCCTCGCGCGGCACAACCTTCTCTCCTCTCAGCCTTCTTGGGACGGCATTTTTATGATATCCTCAAGGTTCCCTCGTTGAGTGATGCGAGCCCACATTTCATGAAACGCCCCCGGACCCGGAAGCTCTGGCATCTTTGAGCACAAGCTTATCACTCTCGCATTGGACGCAGCTTTCTTTTGGGCGCAGGGCGGCTGCCTCACGTTTGCACCAATCTTAACGCCAGCCCAGTACTGGCACTGTACCTGACCCTGCTGTTTGTTCTGCGGCAGCATAGCAGCCTTCTCGCTGTACCTCAACTTCCAAACACCACAAGCGACGTCGCCCTTCAACTCGCCTCGGGAACCTTGCCAAGTTCACTGCTGAAAGCGACCGACCTGACGAACCGCCATCCCGAAAGAGGAGGTGTCTGCCCAGACACCATCGACTAAGCGCCACTTGCTCTTACCTGACATACACGCGTACGACGCAGACTGCCGCTGATATTCTGGGAGTGCCACTGCTGCCTTTGGTGCCGCGGCTGCTGCAAGCACACGACCCTCTGCATCAACTCCACCTCGTCCCAATTCCACCTTGAATCGACTACATACGAACCTCGACCTCTCCACCACCCAACCTCCCTCGACCGCCTCTCCTTCGCTGACCACTCCCCGCCATCATGCCGTCGATCTTGAGCGATGACGACAAGGAGACTGTCAAGCGCTTCGTTCCCAAGCAGACAAACAAGATCCAAGCCGTCGCCGTTGCCAGGTTATATGTGGCCTATCCCAATCCTGCGAAATGGACATACACGGGCATCCAGGGCGCCATCGTTTTGTCAAACGACCTGGTAGGCAACACCTATTGGCTCAAGATGGTTGACATCTCTGTAAGTACCCCGCCCCTCTCTACCTGCTGTTGCATCCCTTGGCTGACATGCGTCTAGTCCGCAAACCGAGGCGTCATCTGGGATCAGGAGATATTCGAATCGTGGAGTTACAATCAAGACCGCACCTACTTTCACAGTTTCGAAATTGAAGAATGCCTCGCGGGCCTGTCATTCATGGACGAGAAGGAGGCAAAACAATTCAAGAAGAAGATGGATGACAGGGAAAAGAATGCGAGCAGAGGCACCAGGGCAACTCCATTCGGAGGAGCTGCACAATCTCATCCTCACAAACATGGTCTGCTCGGAGGACTTTTCGGTAGCCGCCATGCTTCAGCTCCCACACCCCCCGATTCGCCGCGAGCACATGGCCGAATGCCATCGCTCGGGGGACCCAACGGTCACAAGTCCTCAGAATTCGCGGTTCTCGATGCGTTCGACTCGAATTGGCGCGAGAACTTTGGACAGGATCTGCGAGACAAGGGCTTGACCGATGAGTTCATTAAGGAGAACCAGGAGTTCATCGTTGACTTCTTGAAGGAGGAGCAGGAGAAGCTGATGGCTGGAGCAAGAAGCCACGTTCCTCCTCCCCCTCCTCCGCCACCGACAGGATCCCATTCCAACGGCATCGAACCAAGAAATAGGCTTCCTCCGCCGCCGCCCCCTCCAGCAGACAGCCCACGTGTACCACCGCCGCCTCCGGCTCCACGACGCGGCAATGCCCCCGCTCCTCCGCCAGCACGGAGGTCTGGCAAGACCGAACCGCCGGCCGTTCACAGAGAACCAACCCCTCCAAGCGAGCCTTCTGCGCCCGAGCCGCCCAAAAACCGCTTCGCTGTGCCTCCACCCTTGCCAGACGCCGGCAAGCTTGCGCATGCTCTGGGAGGTTCCGTCAGTGCCATTCGCGGGCCGGCAAATGGACCGCCTCCGCCTCCACGCCCGCCAAAGACACCTATGCAAGAAGAAGAGAGACCCGCGAGCCACAGGTTCGGAGTGCCTCCCGCGTTTCCAGGCTCACGACCGCCGCCAACTCCAAGCCGCGGTCCGGTCCCGCCGCCTCCCCCTCCGAGAGCAGATGCTGGCCCGCCGCCGGCCCTCCCCCCGAAAGCCCCGGCGAACGAGGCCCCTCCCCTACCACCACCTTCTTCACGGCCGGTCCCACCTGCGCCAGCAGCCGGAGGCCCTCCACCCCCACCGCCTTTGCCAGCATCGCAGGCTCCTCCGCCGCCGCCGTTACCCTCGTCGAGCGCGCCTCCTCCGCCCCCTCTACCTACCTCACCACCGCCTTTGCCAACATCCAACGCGCCACCTCCGCCGCCGTTGCCCTCGTCGAACGCTCCCCCACCACCTCCTTTGCCATCAAGCAACGCTCCCCCGGCACCGCCTCCACCTCCTCCCGGGGCCGGTGCGCCTCCCCCTCCTCCCCCACCGCCGCCAGCTGCCTTGGGTGGACCCCCGGCTCCTCCCATGCCGAACCGGGACTCTGGGTACTCCTCTGGCGTTCCCGCTCCCGCGCCGGACGCCGGTCGCTCCGGCATGCTGGCCGATATCCAGAAGGCTGGTGGTATCAAGGCATTGAAGAAGGTGGACAGAAGTCAGATTCGCGACCGAAGTGGTGCTTCAGTTGGTGGCAGCAACGATACTGGGCCGCACGGAAGCGGTTTGCCCCCTGCTGGTGTTGCACCTGGTGGCGGTGGTGACATGGCCAACGCCCTTGCCGCCGCGTTGCAGAAGAGAAAGGAGAAGGTCAGCAGAAGTGGTAAGTTGGCATCTGTCTATTTGGTCTACGAAATCCAAGCTAATTTGCTGTTAGATGACGAAAGTGACAATGACGACTGGTAAGCCGTCAGTAGTTCATCATGGACATAGAGGCACGCCGTCCAGGTTATGGCGCCACGCATGCGTCTTCTTCAAACCCAAGCGCGGATATTTAGCATTCAGTTCTTGCTATCCCAGATGATAGCTGCATACTTAGGATGGGGTGGATCACTGCTATTGGCGTCTTTTAGAGCATACTGAAGGGCGCTTCACCGAGCAGGAAAAGTGGGATATGATGTGGAAGCCGATGGTTAAAGCGCCCGGCACCGCAATCAGCGGGATGTCATGGAAGTGAATGAGCTTGCTCACAAGCGTATTAGCCATACGTAAAAGAGATTGAAATCAAAACATCGACAACTGTCCAAAACGACGAATTTATGCATGTGAGAATGAAATTTCAGCGTGATATATGGTGGACTTTGGAGGTGGCCCGGAGGCCACATGCCAAAATAATTCAATTAATCAAGCGCAAGGAAATAATTCTATCGTCCCCGAGATCTGATCTGACGAGCCATGACGTCTCTCCCACCATGGCCGTCCAACGCACCGCCCTAGACACCTTGACTGTCGCGGAATCCAGTAGCCGACGTGGCGAAGACCACTGGATTTGAGAGAGAAGACAGCATCCCCACCCTTCCGGTCTTGCAGCAGAAGGCCGGCCGGGGGAGGAGGTTTCGGGGGCTCCACAAAAACACACACGAGCGTGGCGCGTGGGAAGGGTTTTTTGTTTAAATGTCGTCAATGTCGACCTCCTTCTTGCCATCGCCGCCGGCCTCGTCGCCGCTCTCCTCGGAGTCACGGTCGTCGTCGAACTCGAAGTTGCAGTCACCGTCGCCGTCGGCACCGTAGGTGTCGGTCTCGTTGATCTTGGCGGACTCGGGCAGCTCGCCGTAGGCCTTGAGGGAACGGGCCTCGTCGGCGGTGTACTTGAGGATGACATCGCCCTTGTCGTCCTGGTACTCACGCAGGGAGAGGAGGATGATGTCGCCCTGGTTGATCCAGACCTTCTTGCGGAGCTTGCCACGGATGTTGGCGAGACGCTTGACGCCGTCGAAGCACTGGGCCTCGAGGCGGCCGTTGCCGAGCATCTTTACGACCTGAGCGTACTCTGAAAGAAAGTTAGTGGCATGTTCATGACGTTGTTTTGTGTTAAAGGACAGCGTGAGAGGCCGTTGGTGGTGGTGGTGGTGCCAACGCGTGTTTAGTGATGGGAAATTATGGAAATTTCTTGTTTCGTGCAGCCGAAACAAAGGAGGTTGTGTTGCACTGACCTTGGCCATCTTCCTTGAAGGTGAGCTCACGCTTCTCGTGGTCGGACTCGTTCTTGCCACGTCTGCGGTTCTTTCCTCCCTGTGTGGTTGTTAGTCTGTATTCAAGAGCGACTCCATCATCCTCAACACCATCAACAGCATCACCATGATCGGTGTGCGTTGCCTCGAATAGCATGGAGGGGGCGGGGTTGATGGCGGGTCCGGCTAAGCAGGGGAGGGGTGGTTTTTTTTTTCGCCCTTCTGTTTTGCCAAACCACAACCACAACGATCATACGAAAATGGATGAACTGACCTTTCCCTTGTTCTTGGGCATTTTGACTCTCGAGAATACCGGTTCTGAGGTTCGATGGGGGAGGGGGGTGGGAGAGTGGAAGTGTTGTCGAGGAGTGGAAAGGGGAGGGAATCAAGTGGGCGATGATGTTGATGGGCGAGCTTTATTGTGCGCTCGCGCGAAATATGGGCTTTGGGCTGCTGCTTTCTCCGATACCCAGTCAGTGTGTGCCTCGCCTTGCGCAGGGCAGTGATTTACTGGGTACTGCGGCAATGGGGGAGGAATGGGATGGCGCTTGCTGGAACCACTGGTTCTGGGGCTGCTGGAGGGGCGAATGATGCAGCCGGTATGACTCAAGTGGGGACACTGCTTTAGGGGGCTGCAGTTAGGTGTCATCACCAACAAACTGAGGTTAGCGGTTGGCCAAGTGCTGTGGCTCGGCTCAAGCAGTGCATTACCTAAGGCACCACAGCACAGGTACAGTGAAAATGTGCGAGCCGCACACGCCAATTGTTTGACACTGCACAGCCCACGCTGCAACCCGGACGGTCTTGGTATTGATGGATGGCTTATCTAATGTCTAAATCTTTTGGAGATGTCTCTGAACCACGATCCCGTTAAGCTCTTAAGCTGGAGACTGCCTACTTTTGTGACATCGTCTTCCTCCAGAAACCCGTTCCCCGAGAGAGCCGAACCGATGACTCGGTCATGACTCTGAGCTAGACCAACCTCGACAACAGTCAACTGTCGCCGCCAGGCATGACTCTTTGCCACCCGACACCCGAACCTCTGCGATGAACCCGGCGAGACGGCAGTTAGTGACCCGCGGCCTTTGGCGGCTGCCGTCGACCTCGACAGCGCTCCGAAATATATTCGTACCGGCGGTCCAATGCTACAGCTCCTCCCCAAGAAAGCCGGTTCTCCCCGTCCCAAACAAACCGTATGACGAGAATGCGCCTCTCGAGCAACATACCGTTTCCATATTTAGGCGCCTCAACATGCGATCACCCTTCCAAAGAGGAATTTGGAAGGAAGTGCCCCGAGATCACAGCAAAAATATCGATGCGCAGAAATACATCCTTTGCAGATACTCGCTGGAGCACGTCGTCGAACGTTTCGATATGTTCAAATTTCAAAACTCGCGACACCCCACTGCCAATGTCGCAGTGCTGGAGCATCAGTATGAGAAGATGAAGAGGGATCGGCCGCTGTGGCCACAATATGACGGTGTTTACAAATTCGGACGTGCTGGGCTCGTCATTACGGCGCGTGCCAGGCTGATGAAGGCTCTGAGAACGTCTCTATTCGCCAGAGGGTATGACATATACGGACGGAGACTTGTGGCCGAAGAGGTGGCCGGGCAGCGCAAGAAGGGTTCAGGTGATTTGCGCGGGTCGATACTCTTGAAGGCACAGCAACCACAGGAGATCAGGGCCAAGTTGACGATGAAGGAGATACAAGAGGTTGTTGATTATTGTGTGGACTTCTTCATAAAGCAGACCCAAGGAGCATGGCCCCCCGAGAGGCCGCCACCTTCTGCCGCAACATCGCGGCGAGCATCAAGAAGGGAGATGCAACTCCCGCCTCCAAGCTTACGAGGACTTCCATATCAACCTTGGCTGAAGAAGGAAGACATGCTGACGCAGGGCACTGACTCCAAGAGTAGTCAACCTTTAAGCAATGTGACGCAGGTTCGGCAAGAAAGCTCGGCCTCAAAGGCACGCATATTGCCAAAGAAGGCTGCAAGGACCTTGAGGCCATGAGTAGTTCTGAAAAGGAATGGAACCGCACCCGAAGTTGGAGGAGGCTCCCTACCATGGAGCCTGATCGCACATCATTGCGAGCAAGATCGAGGATCATGCAACGGGCGAAAGCCAGACCTTGACACAACAACTGGAGAACGAGGAAAGGCTTCCTCTGCAGAACTACGATCCTGCGAGAAAGTTGCCGTCAGTCTCGCGCAACTAAATGCCCAAAGTCTCCTATTGACCATAAAACATCATTGATACCCCAAAATAGAACCGTTTAACTTGCGAACAAAGACTCTTCATCACAATTGGTCGGCCATTGCCAGAGTCCTCGGAGCTACAGCATGTAATGTAGCAAACACTGTCACCAAAGTCAGCCAACGTGAAGCCCACAGGCCATACGCATTGGCTCTAATGAACAAGCATGATAAGCTGGAGCTATTTCTGAAGTTCACAGGGTGAAGCACAGGGCAGGCAGGGTACGTACCCATGCACCTGTGCTTGTTTCCTGCTTGCCCAGGCCAGGACACAGCAGCACTTGAGGACGAATCACATCGCTAGCGCAGAGCTGCCAGCCGAGACGTTCTGGAGCTGCCAACCTGGTTAATTAAGTGAGAGGACGTTGCATCTCTGACCCAGCATATGTGTCTCGGCCTCTACGAACACGCTACACAGCAAATCCAAACCGTCGCCGCTTGCCCTCGACGAAGTTATCGCGAGTCAAACCTAGACCTCGGAAACCGGGCATTGACCGGCGACAACAGTGATTCCCAACCCAACCCACGCAATTGATTCGGACTGTCACGACTGCAGACCAATTACGTATCGTTTCAAGGGACATTGGGCCAGCCCCCTCAACACCAGCAAGCACAGCCCACGATGCTTGTCTCCCTGACCGTCGGCAAGGTCGACGCTGGCGTCACGGTTCTCCTGACGCCTGATAAGCGCTTGGTAAGTCTGTCCAGATACATGCCCTTCTGGAGGCAGGCACCTTGAAGCTCCCGAGAGCAGCTACGTCGCCTGCTTCTTCGATCAAGATTACCCCTTGATGTCTCGTTGCTGACTCTCACTCTTTCCAGATCGAGTTTCCCTCCATCCTTCTCCCTCCCAACATTTCCTCCGGCAGCATTGTCGATATTACCGTCTCCCGCAACCTCAACTCTGAAGGCAAGACCGAGAATGCCTTCCGCGAGCTCCAGGACCGCATCTACTCAGCGTTCGGTGCTTCAGCGCCCACCACACCCGTCCTCCGCTGCCGCAATGCCACGCAGACGTCCGTCGTCCTCGAATGGCATCCTATCGAGCTAGCTACCGCCGACCTCATCTCCCTCTCCCTGTACCGCAACGGCCAAAAGGCCGGCAACATCCCTCGCCCCTTGCAGATGCACAGCACCAAGATCAGTGGTCTGGCGGTCGATACCGATTATACTTTCCACCTCGTCCTGCGGACCACCGCCGGCACCTTCAGCTCCGACAAGGTTGTTGTGCGCACCCACAAGATGACGGACCTCAGCGGTATCACGATCACCACGGGTATCATGCCCGCCGCCACTAAAGAGGCGCTGGCCGCCGCCGTCGATCGCATTGGTGCCAAGATTGTCGACAGCGTCCGCATCGACACCACGCACTTTGTCACTACTGAGGGTCGCGGCCTGGCCTGGGAGAAGGCCGTCGAGACAAACATCCCCGTCGTGCGACCCGAGTGGGTCGAGGCTTGCGAGAAGAACGGCCGCATTCTTGGTGTCACCAAGTTCTACCTCGACGCTCTGAGGCCGGTTCCCTCCGGTGACGAGCTCCAGCAGGCCCCCACGCCGCATCAGCCTCAGCAGCAGAGCCCGCAAACACAGAAGGAACTACCTTCACCTCCTCCTGGCACCTCGCCTGAGAACGGCGATGCCTCGTCCGCCAAGTCTCCCGAGGATAAGCCACCTGCGCCCAAGGCAGAGGAGGAGCAGCAAACGGCCGGTGACGACGAGAAGGAGGCGGAGCAGAAGAGGATCGCCGACCAGGAAGAGCAGAAGGTGCGGTTCGAAGACAAGGAGGAGCAGAACCTTGCGCACCGCCCGAAGGAGGAAGATGACGAGAGCAGCGAGAAGGGCAAAGGCGACGAGGACAATCCGACCGGGAAGCCAGGCGCATCTCCTGACGGGGCATCTTTCGAAAACGTTGCCTTGTGAAGACGAGAAGGAGATTGCGGAACTAGCTAAAAAGGAGCCAGAATGATTGCGGTCCTTTCTCAGCAAGGAGTTATCAGAGGAGAAGTCTCGGGTTCATGTACAACTAGTAGCCTTTTCTTCACGACATTTATAGAGTAAGTTGGACGGAATTTTACGAAGTTTCAGAATTATCACTTTTATTATCATGACCACAGCCCTTGTCTGCCTCCTTCGTGGGGTATCTCAGTCTCCATCAAGGCAGAATCTCCTTTCCCTGCCAGTCCCAACACCTGCCTCGTCCCTCCAGCCCGACCTCCTTCGTGAGCACGCTACACATCCTCTCTACGGCATACTCGGGCTCAAACAGCTTGCCCTCGGGCACCCCGTCCCAAAACGCCTTGCTCAACCCCGTCTTCACGGTGCCGGGGTGATACGCCACGGCCATCGCTTTCTCGCCGCTCCTTGCTCCCAACCACAGATCCAGACTCTTGGCCAGGCTCGTCACACCCGCCTTGGACGCGCGGTAGCTGTACCACCCGCCCTTGCGGTTGTCCGACGTGCTGCCCACCCGCGCCGACATGGCCGCCCACACGGCCCTCCCCGGCGGCAGCCCCTCCTCCTCGTCACTTTTGAAGGATACGGCCTTGCGCGGGAGGAACCCCGAAAAGTGCTTCATGAGCATCATCTGGCCCAGCGTGTTCACTTTGAACGTCTCCAGCGCCGCGTCGTACTCGATCTGCGCGGGCGCCTTCTCCGGGTGCAAGATGCCCGGCGTCGCGAGCGCGAGGCGCAGGTGGTGCGTCGCCGGCGGGAACAGGGCTTTCGCTTCCTCCGCGGCGGCGGCGATGGTGGGCTCGTCGGTCACGTCGAGGCGGACGACCTTGAGGCGCGGGGCGAGGTCCTCGGCGCCGGGGAGGGCGTCGAGGATGTGGTGCTTGGCGGCCGTGGTGTCGGCGGCGCGGCAGGTCGCGAGGATCGGGGCGCGCATCGTGAGGAGGAGGTGCCGGGTCAGGTGGCGGCCTATGCCCCTGGAGGAGGGGGAGACGAAGATCCAGGGGCTGGACATTGTTTCTCTTCTTCTTTTCTTTTTGGTTTTCTTATCGTTTGGCGGCAGTTCGTCTCTTGTTCGGGGCTTGAGATGGTCTCGTGTCACGGTGTCGCGGTTTGTTGGGAAGCCAGCCGTCTGAGCTTCCAAAACATGTGTTGTGTAAATTCTTGCCGAACATCAGGCATGTGGTTCGTCCCGTTGCTAAGACAGGAATTTGTTCTTTTTTTGCTTAATTGAGTTTCAGGCGAGCCAAGTCAAAGACATCATGACTTGCAAAATATTGGGGCATTTCAGATGCGGTCCGCAACGACGTCATTGGCTGGAAGCGCCTTACATCCAGATTCACCTAGCACGACTTCTTTCCTCGATCGGATCTACGACAATTCCCCTGGCTAAACTAGTGTCCGGATCGGGAGCTAACAAGCGGCCGTTTCTGATCAGCATCTTCACGGGAGCATAGCGAATTTTTTTTAAAAAAAAGATTGCACGTGTAGAGGGCAATATCTTTGGTGATTCTTCGTTAATTGTAGAGATTGGCGGCCGCATCTGCGGCGCCCAGGAGAAGGCTGGTCATGAGATGGAGGTAATGAGATACGTAGAACACATCACACCAGACATCTGCTCATCACAAATCCATGAGAGAGACTGGTTCTCCCGAGAAAGCCCGTTGACAAAAGAAACTCGTTCCCGCAGCCTCCGTACAAGTCGTCAACGCTGAACCGAACCCGATTGAAGACTCGCGCGGCCCCCGGCCGTCAGGTCTTGACAGTGGAAAGAAAAAAAGCAGCAAGGACGAGACACAAAAGGAAAAAGGTATACCCTCCACGGTCCACGTTGATCAATATGAAAAAAGAAATAAGAAACATCGTCAACATCCCGCTTTAAATCATGTTGTAGTAGTACTCATTCGGACCACCGGGCTGCGGTGTCCGGATGCGCTCTGTCCGGTTCGTCTCCTGGCTCACGCGCGCGGCAAACTGAAGCTCCCTGATGAGAGGGTCCAGAGAGTCCAAGCCGCCGCGGGTGATGAGGGGAGGGAGGACGGGGGCACCGTGGCGACGGGCTCGAGGGGCCCCTGACCGACGGGACGAGGCGTTGTGTGAAGTTGACGGCCGGCGCGGTCTGCGATCGCGGTCGTGGTTGTCAGTGAAGGCGCCGTCAAAATCCAGAAAGTCGTCTCGGGTGTCCGCAAGCCTCCGACGCGGCTGGGACTCGGACTGGTGCTGCTGATGATGTGACGACCTACTTTGCATCCGCCCGGTCCTGCGCACGCGGATTTCTTGCCGGGCGTCCCGGCTGATGCGGTGCTCCTCGTAGACAAAGTCGTGGTCGTCGTCGAGCGGCCAGTCCAGGGGTAGGGATGTGAGAAAGGGGGAGCCTGGGAGGCTCCTGAGTTCGTGCATGCAGCGCTCCAGACGGTCGATGAAGAGCATCTGGTTCTGTTCCTGCTGATGCATGCGCATCTCGAGACGTTCCTGGTTCAGGAGCATCTCGTGTGCGAGGTCGTTGACCCGCGCACTGCGGAGGGAGGCGTAGTGGTTGCGGAGCTCTCTGGCGGACATGGAGAGAAGGTCGAAAGGTGCTTCCTCGATCTCGGCGCGGGCGCGGCTCTTCGGACGGAGGGTGGCGGTCTCAGCTGCGTCGCCTTCGTCGGCTGCTGGCTGGCGTCGTCGTTGCAGGTCTGCGGAGCCGCGGGCGGTATTGAAGAGCTCTGGGTTCGTGTTCCCTGCGGTATGCGGGCGGGCGAGCTGGGTCGAGCTGGAAGGTTGGGCCGCGACGGTGGTCTGGCTGCTTGGGAAAGTGGGATGTGAGACTTCGACTACTGTAATTGGGGAGTTGAGGGTTGAAGCTGACCACCTCTCGTCCATGGGACCTGTGGGCACGACTTCGGCCACGGGCATGATTGCACTGAGCCTTGGCCCCGAGCCAGGCTTTGGAAACGCCGCGATGCTGCCGGCGATGAATTGCTCTGTAGATGATCTCGGAAGGTCTACTTCGGCGTCGACTATGCTCAGGGGCGGAGAGGTCAGACGGGCCGAGTCGACCTGGGAGAGGGTTGCCGAGTCGGCGCGAGACATCCTGGCTGGGCGAAGGGGAGAGGAGCCGTCTTCGACAGCTTGGCCTACCTGGGCGGCGTCTGCATCGGAAGGCGCGAAGCTGCCTATCCGGTCCAAGAGCGGCACAGAGCTAGCCCAGCTGCCGCGGTGATAGCTTCCCCAGCGGCGAGGCGGTTCGGAGCTGACGGTGCTGTCTCTGAAGAGGCTGTTGTCGAAGTTGCTCGCTGCGGAATCCGCAGCGGCCATAGTGTCGTTGAGGAGGCTTGTGCTCAGCCAGTCCGGCGTTGGTGTCTCTTCACGGGCGGTTTCCCATCCGGGCGTCAGCTCCTCCTGCGCCGTCTCCCAGCCTGGCGTTTCTGCTTGCTGGGTGGCCTGCCAGTCGGAGATCTTGCCGTTCGAGTCGGTGGTTGACGACGTCTGTTCCTTCTTAGCCATGTTGGCCAAATTTGTCGCAGAGAGCTTTGTCTCCATGCCACGGAAGTTCCTTCCAAACGTGCCATCCCGAGAAGGGAGGCGAAGGTTGCTAATCACCGTCTCAGTTGTCTGCGGCCTCGGCGTGATTTCGCCGTCATCCTCCTGCTGCAGCTGCTTCAGCGCCCTGAGGGCCTCCATGTCTCTGTGCTTCAGAGACTTGACGCGGTCCCTGCGACTCTGTCTGGAGGCGGCGGTCCTCGTTGACGGATTACGAGAGGCTATAGAACCATTCACCAGGGTGGTTTGGTTGGTGTCGCTACTCCCTGGTCGGATGGTGAACGACTGTCTTGGCGTCATTGACTCTGAATCTTGGAGTACGACCGACGCGGTCGAGTAGGCCCTTGCGGGCCGGGCTCTTGAGATGACGGGTTCAGATAACTCCGTCGTCGCAATGCTCGGACTCAGAGACGGTACTTCTGAGTATCCTGGACTGAGCTGCGGCCCATCAAAAGCGACACTCTGACGCTTTGTGCCTCCGCCAATTAAGCCATCAATGGAAGGCTTGTCTCTCGCGGTGTCTGTCTTGGGCCGCACAATCTTGATACTCGACCGTCGAGGCGGCAGGACGATGTTCTGCGGTCTCCTTGAAGACTTACTCTTTGGCTTTTGGTGATGTGGGCTCGCAGGCTGCGAAAGGCTCTCCGAGATCCAGCACTCTCTGTCAATGTTCTCGCTGGGTGTCTGGGGCATCACCACAGGTGATGCCGGGAGCTCTGCGTACTGCGGTGGGGGTAACGGCAACCGCTCGCGCTTTGGCTTGGAAACACTCGGTTTTCCGCGCAAGCTTCCTGGCGGCGTTGAATAAGGTGTCCTGGGCGGGCTCAGGGGATTGGGGTTGACTTTGGGCCAGATGGACACATTGCCCTTGACCCCCTTGCAACGTTGCGACTTCGTGCTCATGGTGTTCATCGTGTCGAGTGTCGACAGAGATCCCTTTTCGCTGACGGTCTTGAGAACGGTCACGGTGCGCTCACTGGCGTAAGGCCTGACCTGTCCGTTGAGGGTATCCTCGCTGCCCCGGGCAGGAGTAGGGGGGAGCGGCGGGGTGGCATTGAAGATGGCGAGCGCCCAGTCAGAGTCCGGTCCTACGTGGCAGTACTCCAATGGAATAGAGATTGCGATATGCGAGTTTCCGCTTGCCGTCTTGGACGCGACGGCAGAGTTGGGCAGTCCCGCGGTCCGTGGCCGACGGGCAGGCGACTCCGACCTGGCGCGGGTGCGCGGGCGGCGCAGCTTTTTGAATAGCCTCCACCTCTCGGGTTCCTCCTCTTCGTCCTGGGGCTCGTCGTGCTCGAAGACGGATCGTTGTTCGGAGCGCTGCGGTGGGGGTGAGTTGGTCCGGAAGAATTCAATGAGTTCGCCCAAACCCTGTCTGTCATTGTTTTCCCTGGCGCGAGCGCGGACGGCGCCCCATTCGGAATCGGAGTCCGCGGTGTCGATCCGGCTGAGGGCTTGCGCAAAGAGGTCGTTTGATGATCTGGCTGGGCGCGGAGAGAAACCTCGTTCGCCGTCGCTGCCGAAGCTGCTGAAAGTTCCCCGGCGACCTCTGGTGAGGGAGAGGTCCAGCCGAGGAGGACCCAAGTTCGTTGACACAGCCATGACCTCGGAGTCCCTGTGGATGATGCTCTCGGAGATGGCCATTCCGTCACTGGCGGGAGGTCCAATAGTGCAATTGACTGTCCTGGGATGACATGCCCAAGGTTACCACGGTAGACGCGACCTGAAAGTCCAAGTGTTTGACGAAGCAGTCGTACAGTTGTGGTGGGTTTCGCGACTCGCCTGCGGCGTAGCAAGCTATGTGTGATGATGGTACGGGACGTCTGGCGACACCCGTCAGTGTAATGGGATGATGATCACGCAACCGGGATGAGGGAGATCAACCGTGATTTGCATCCAGGGTCCCAAGCTGTCGTTTGCCGGAATAGTAGGTGAAGAGCAGAAAGAGAGGGGGAGGGGGATGTAAGATGAAGGATGGGGGAGATCAAAATATCAGGGTTCATCGAGCAACACCTCGAGAGACAGGACCATCCCTCGGGTCTCGAGCGCAGGATGGCGGACGGTAGGGATCGATATATGTTCTGGTCCGGCCGGATTCCCTCTGAGCGACCGTTAGACCTGAGCGAGGAGAGAGAGAGAGAGGGAAAAAAAGGCGGGAGGGGAGACAGACGGTGGCAGACGGAGGCAGTAGAAGCGTCAAACCATCGCGGGGAGGCGTCCGTGCAAAATGATGGGAACGAGGGCTACAGAGGACTCAGGGCTTGCGCCATGGCCAGACTCTGTCAGGAAGAAGACTGAGGGACGGGGGAGGGGGAACACACATACACAGACTCACAGCTGCCATATTGCAGTGCCCATAGACACACGCGGTGGGTGTCCAGAGAGAGAAGTCGAGCGAAGAGAGGGGACCAGACGAGACAGCAACAGGCCAGGGCAGATCAAGGGAGGAAGAGGGCGTCGTCACTAAGAGTTTTAGACCGTCGTCTAGGGGCTCGGGCGGAGAGTGGGCTCGTGGCGCTGAGACTTTGGGGTCGGGATAGCCTCTCAAGCGAATTTGACAATGCTATTTTCTTTCTTTTTCCTCTTTCACGGGCCAGGCGTCGTTGAAGGGAAAGCAGACGGTCCACGAGGTATTCCAAGACATTGGAAGCCCGGGCTGCTGGCTTCCAGAGTGTGTGTCTGTGTGAGAGACAGCAAGAGAAAGAGGAGAGTGCTCGCTGTACGCGTTGTGTACTGTCTTGGCCCCCGGAAACGATCAAAGAGGAAGGAACTCGAACCAAGGAAAACGTAAAGTGACAAGCGCCACAATGGAGCTTCATGTTTCTTTTGCCGGCGCCTTGCAGACCGGGCTCGACCAGTGTGCCGTGCCAGTGTCACTTGAAAACGACAGGGCCACTCCCACTCCTACATCTCCCATATTGGGGGTCGAGGAGCAAGTAGGTGGAGGCGGAGAAGTGAAGACTTTCGAAAGAAAGGCCGAAGCTGCGACGGGGGCGGAAGACCTGAACCCGTAAAGCTCCTCAATTGGCAGGCGGCCCCCGGGGGGCATCACCGTGCGGCCAGTAGTCTGGGACAATCATTGCAATAGAAGTTGCTTTTTCTTTTCTTCTTCCTTTCGTCGGCTGTCAGTATGGCACAGAACTTCTCCGCAGACAGACATACAGACAGACAGACAGCGCGGCGGAACGAGGCAGCCGCGGTGCGGTGCATTGCGCTGCGTCGGAGTTGAACAAAAGACAGCTGTAGAGGGGAAAATTCGAGCGAGAGAGAGCAAAAAAAGAAACCAGACGATGATCGACCAGTCTGGCGTGCGTCGGACAAGGACATGGTTGCTCGGTTGGGGGATCGGGGGGAAAGTGCCGCGGAGGAAATGGGTGGCCCCAGGCCGCTGGGTGACCCCAGCAAGGGATATGCGGTAGGGATGTTTGCGCAGGTCAGCGCGGCAGCCGGCGGCCCAGCGATGCAGCACCCAACATTAGCAGCATGCAGCAGCGCGCGATCCACTGCCTTGATATGCGCTCCAGTTGGTGTGCTGCAGGGGTGGACGTGCCCAAAGTGCATTCTTATCGACAGAACTGTTAGAACGAGACTCTGCGGATGCAGACAGGATCGATGAGGAGGGTCCTCTGGCGTGTCTCTTGTTCTGACTACCTTGCCGTGTGACGAAACTGGCAACAGCAGCCTTCGTGTCCCGTCTCAGATGAAGGGGGCCTCTGGTTGGGTAGTTGCTGTTTCTCACGTCCGCTCGTCATACTGAACACACTTGCCAGTTATCCGTGATGGCGTATTTCTGCTTGGATCCAGAACCCAACATGCCTTCGTGGAGGTATCCGCAGGTAGGAGAGGCTTGCCGTTGATCGGCCCGGATGGGAGCGTCCACCCACCAAACACGATATGCCGAGATTGGGACGCGCAGAAAAGGCGGAAGAGGCAGAAAAGCGCAATCGGACTACTCCTTGGTAGGTACCTAGGTGATTGCCTTACCTAAGGCGTTATGCGACGGGGCTTGTCATATAATGGAAGGAAGGGGGCTAGAAGAGGTGGCTTGGAGGGTGCCCGGGCTAAGCCGCGAACTGCATTCATCGCGAGCAGGCACGCTGTGGCTTGTGGCTTGATTTGGCTCTTGTCATTTCTCTCTTTCTCTCCCACTTAGTTACTGGGATCGCAAGATACCGCTCGCGCCATGGGATACACAGATATGCGGCGATGCTCGCGTGCAATTGCTTGCGGAACCTGTAACAAATGTGTAGCCACCAGCATTGGGGATACAAGCAATGGAACATGAGTGAAGTGACGTCGGCTATTCTTTCGGCTGAAGCAGCTCCCTCAAGTCGCACCTTCAGGTCGTGTGCCGCGTCTAGCACCTTACGTAAAGTGCCTTAATTTCCAGAATCAAACTTTTTTTTTGCCAGATTCTGCCCTGAATTACACGAACCTTGGCTCCGGTACTCGCGTAGCCGAGCCGCGATGATGCACCGCCTTCACCTACTTGGGGGCTGGATCAGTGAGTGTGAGGTTGGAGGAGGAGGAGCTCTCCGTCCCACTGAGGATGGAAACGTCCAAGTAAGCGGGTCCCTCACTAACAGCCACTGCAACAGTCAGAATCAAAACCAAACCGTCTCAACGCCGTCAACGGGCTCAAGCGTTAGCGGCCCCCTTAGCTCTGCACCCTTCAGGCGCACCAGAGGGAGCTGAGTTCAGAGCTCACGCCCAGCTTCATTCATTATCATTACCCTGCCTTAAGGTACCTTAGGGTTATGTATGGTATGATGCAAATGGATCGAGCACTTGATGAATGCCATCCGAGTTATGTCCATGTTCAATATCAACGTGAGATTAGCTCATCTCAAGACACGCGCCGAGAATTATTCGTCAGACCAACCTCACAAACCTTACTTTGGATCACATTCCAACCACAAGGCTGCTTGTGATCGCAGACATGAGATGCCATCAAACACGCCAGTCTGGCATATCGAGGTCGGCATGTCGTCAGTTCTGGCTCTGCAGGGCATCCATCCACATCTCCCTGTCCATGCCCTGTGCAGCTGAATGACGGCCCTGCCCTTGCTCACATCATGCCGCCGCCGATGCTACGCTGAACATCTCTGGCCCCCCAAAAAGGCCCCAGAGGACCCCAAAGCCCCCCCCAATTGGCACTCTGCAATGCACCAAAAGACGATCCATGCACAAAAAAGCTGCAGTGCACATCCCGCTCGCTAAACTTATCCCAAGATCCAGGTTCCGTCCGTCGTCGTTGTCGTTAGGTTGTCGTCGTTGCCCGGGCGGATCCCCGGCGGGCTCCTCCCTGCTTTCTCCAGATCCACAGCACCGTCCACCTCAGTCAGGGCCCTCCTCATCCCCTCTGTATCGCCAGCGTTCCCACCCACACGGCTCGATATACCTACCTAGGTGAGGGCCCATCTTACCACCACGACACTCCATTTTGTGCCCCCTCCCTCGGCCTCCATCCTGCTATCCCTCTACTCCCATCCACTCCATCGTCCCCGACAGCATTCCCAGATCGATAGATCGTGATCCCGATGTGACTCCAGAGTGCCATCTGAGCCCCCAATCCCCGTCCGACTATTTCCAATCGACCTGAACCTTCGGCCCCATCCCGTATCGTATCCCTTGACCCTCACACATCGCCCGCCGCCCTGTGTGTCTCCGTCAGCTCCATCGCCACAACCGCAACCCCTCACAACCCTCACAGTTCGCCGGCCCGCAACGCTTAGTCTCCTCCCGCACCCGCCCTCTCGCCGCCGAATGTCTCTCCTTCCCAACGAGAGCCGAAACATGCGCCCTCAAAAACAAGAAACTCCCACGCACACACGCTGACACGCTCACAACGCCGCAGCCTGCCAGCCCGCAGGCCGTGCCGAACCTGTCCGACGCCAAACACCACCACCCAAACTCCCCCATTTCCAACCCCAAGGAAAAAGGCCCAAGACATGGCTAAATCGCAAGGATGTTCAGCTTTACGATTCCTGGACTCACCAGAGTTTGGACCAACTCTTAAGTGAACAGGGGATCCCCCTTCCTCCTCCGCGCTCCTCCTTACCCATCCACCATGATCCTCCCCACCCATCCCCCGTCAAATCCGTCAACCAAGGTGTGACTCCCGTCAAAACCTTCAGATGGCAAACAAGTGACAGATATCTTCCTTCCTCCACTTGGTCCGTCCTTCCTGGCCCCCATCAATCCTCCATGCATCAGTCACGTAACACATCATGTCTCTCCTGCTCGCAAAAAAGTGAGTCATTTTTGAATCAAGTCATTCGAAACATCTTCGTAAAAATCTAAGATTCAACAGCAAAAAACAACGACACAAAATAAACAATTTCCATGGCTGGCCTGGACTGGGCCAGAATAACTGTCCACTGACTCTCATCCCGCTTCCGTCTTCCTTTGCAACGGCGGCGAGGCCTTATCCGACTCTCCAATGCCACTGAGACACACAAATAAGGAAAGCCATGTGGTCTCCCGCTTTCCGCCATAACCTTCTTTCTTTCGCCCGTCATATCCTTCTTCCTCATGTTTCTTTCCCCTTCTGCTGGAAAAGCCAGCCCCCCTCCATCATCGGTGTCGAGATGTGAAGCTCCAAGTGTAGCTATTTTCATCCCACCCAATAGGAAAGCTCATAA